AGCCTGTTTTGAAATTATCACAAAAATGATTCACTTACATATATCTGTCATATTCGACCTACAGTAGTTTAGCCCTGCATGTTCACACTAAAGTTCTAAGGTGTGTCTTAGCCCTGAGTGCTTTTTGAATGAAGCACAATACAGGGCAGCCAATCAGCAAAGAGATCATTTACATATATCAGTCTTAAAGGGCCTATGTCCCACATTTTCCTTTTGTTTCCCCAGAGGTCCACTTGAAATAACTGTTTTGTGATGTCATAAAATTTCCATATAATTCCATGGTTGAGATTTAAACAAAATCATTCAATTTGGTTTGATGTGAAATGGTTTTCTTTACAGTGGTGATGACTAGAACCAGGGGTCCCAATGTCTACAATGCAGATATTTATTTGCTGTTCAATACCACCAGTGAATCTAAATGTGACTTCTGAGCTTCATGTAACGTTGACGATAGTATAATAATGGCCAATCTGAAAAAATAAGTTTTCTTTGGGGGCTGTTTACCTTAGAACACCTTTCACACACCCCCACCATGAATTTAAAAAAAAAATGATTAAAATATGTTTTAGACCAAAACTACTGTAATATGTCTCATCAAGCAATTCATAACCATTTCATATAATACTTTCTGAGAAGGAGCTTTTAGGAGCATTAAACTCTTTAGCTGTCTTGTTCCTGTCACCACCACTGTGAACAATTCTGACTCTATAAGTTTCTCCAGAGCAAAGCATTTCACACCAAACAACTCAGAATGATTTTGTTGACGTGTTAGCCGTTTAAGTATGCAGAAATTTGAAAATTGGTGGAGTTCCCCTTTAATGTTAATGCACATTAGTTGAATGACAAAGTTGAATTACCTCTCTTTTGATTGGCTGCCTGGCAGTAAGCCTCACTCAAAAAGCAGCCTGGGCTGAAGCACTCCTTATAACAGGGGTCTCAAACTCAACCACTAAAGGTGCCATATTAAAAGATCTCAACAAATCTGTGGGCCAGAGAAAAAAATGTTTTAATTTCATTCTTAATTAATGTTGTGCTGTAACCTGAACTGGCCACTGTTTATTCAAAATATGCAAAAACTTCAGCAGTAACATACAGACACTTGCAGTAGACCTTGAAATATTACATGAATACTTGAAATAATCAAAACTTAAACGTCCCAATGAGCTCAGTCTTTTAAACCTACCTATTTGCTTGAACTAGACACCTGACATCCTTTCTTTGCTGCAAGTTCATTCATTCTTGGGCTTTATTTGTTGAACTGCAGCTAAAATGCAGCTAGTGCGTTTGGTGATAGGTGTGGAATTGTGTAGAATTGTGTAGAATTAAGGTTTAACCGCTGTCCCATATATTATTGTTGGGGTGGGAGAGTCAGAGGGCACATTACGTTGCAGAGCATGCTGGGGACTGTAGTGTAGTGCACTGTGAAACGAGCTAATATTAATAGAAAATTAAAATACTTTTGCAGGCCGGATGGGATTGTGTTGTGGGCCTGTGTTTGACACATGGGGCTTATAACTCCAGTGTGAATGGGACAAACGGCTAAACTGCTGCAGACTGAATAGGAAGATATATATACACGATTTTATTTTTTCTGACATCAGAGAAACAATCAGTTTAAAAAGGGCTGTTTTGCAGCTTAGTTTCTATATATGGACGGTATGAACTGGGAACTGAAATATATGTTTTGAAACTTTAGTACTGTTTACTTACTGTATCAAACTCTTATTCCAAAAAAGCGAGGAAAATGTTGTTTTCCAAGTAATGGGCCCTTAGAGGGCACAGTAACAAAACCAGCCTGTTGGGAGAGAGGCTGGGAATGGTGATGTAAAAATGAATTATGACTGCTTTTGGTACAGAAGCCCACAGTGCTGTGATAAACTGATGTCAAGGAACATAATAAAACACAACAAAAATGCAGGATATGGACCCTTCAAAGTGTAGCAATAAATGTAAGAATGTGTATGTATTTATATTTATCTGTAGACACTTTTATGTGTATGCACTCATTTGAGTAGCTATTACATCACTCAGGTCGTAGATTTGCATCCTACAAACACTGCAAACACTCCATAAACCTGACAGGTACTTTTTGTTGTTGTTTCTTCTCTGTGTGAGTGTAAAATTTCAGATGCAGCATCATAGACGTCTCTTCCAGAGCTGAATGTAAATGTTCACATTTAAGTTATTGAAAAATTGGTGTTTTTTGTCACGCAGCTGTCAGTTCGGAGCCTGTCGGTGAAAGCAGGGTCATATCCCCCAGGGGTGAGTGACCTGGCGGATAAAAGCCCCCGCGGAGGCCAGCTGGACTTCAACTTCGAGCTGTGGGTCCCCTCACTCTGAGGAATTTACATAACAACATAACAGACTGTATTCATGAGGCCGCGAGCGTGTCGGGCCCAGCTCAAGCGGGACAGGCCCTCTGATTTCAGCTCAGCATCAATATTTTGGCCCAGGGCCGGCGTGAGGGATTACGACTTGGCTGTGAAAGGTATTTGTCCATCCTCAGCTTTAGTCTTTGCACACATGTAGTTTGTGTGGCATTAAAGGGAAATTCCACCAATTTATCAACATTTGTGCATAATTAAATCGTTGAAAAGGAATTCCAGTGATTTTTCAAAATGTTTGCGTAGTTCAGTAAGATGTAAAGAAAGTCATTCTAAGTGCTTTGCTGTAAAATGGTTAATTGTAGAGAAACTTATCGACTTGGATTTCTTTATGGTGGTGTTCACAGAAAACTAGGGGTCTCAGTTCCAACAACACAAATATAGGCATTTTATTTACTACATCTCCTAAAATCCCCAGTAAGTGTCTTCTGTAATGTTGATAATGGTAAAATAGTAGTAAATCTAGAAAAAAAATATGTTTTATTTGGGACTAGAAGTATTTTATGTTATAATTTTAGTGGGATGGCTTTCGGAGGAATTTCACTTGTGGTTTGAGGTGAAATGTGCTGTTCTACAGAAATGTATTGAGTATTGAATTTTTCATAGTGGACGTCTGAAAGGTTTAATGCCTCTAAAAGCTGTCTCACAGAAAATAATACATGAAATGGTTATGAATATGTTGCCTGATGGCCAAAAATGTATTTGTAAAACACATTCACAGTGGTGGAGCACATGCAGCGTGTTATAAGGCAAAATAGTTCCCAAAAAACTATACCACTATTTTATCCTCATAAACATCACATATAAAAGCTCAGATGACGTGTGCAAGAGTTTATATCTCAACCATTGAATTACACAGATATTTTGGAAAATCAGTGTACAATCTGTAGAAATTTAAGCAATATTGCAACAAGGAGCTCTGAAATGTGGTGTGCAGGATGTCTTTATATTAACTTAATTTGCAGTCAGAACCATTACTGAGCTTAAAAAGTTTTTAGAGAGTGATTCTTGGCATCAGGTTGTGTGAGCAAGAGAGAGACAAAGTCAGAGAGAGAGAGAGAGAGAGAGAGAGAGACTGATTGTCTCTCAGGCTAATGGTATTGTATCTAATTACGTAGGCTGCAATTAAAGATGGCCAGCAATCATGGATAATTTGAGAAGTTTTCTCATTAAGTAAATTGATAATTAGAAAAACTCTGAGCCTGAGGGGGTAAGGATCTACATTATTTGTTCACTTAACGAAAACATTTGAACCTAAATGCTATTAATAGTTACTATCAAACACATAAACATATAGAGTTGAATACATGATAGGCCTGTCTGGACCCTTTTATTGTGCGAAAGAAAAAATGCAACATGAGCTCACATTTCATAGTAAGTTATGTACTGTTTATAACTTAGAAGCTGAGCACTGCCAAGAGGTGGCAGAGATCTGTTCGCCGTACTGTGGCTGAATAAAGGTCCACTAGCTCCATCTGCAGGACATGCACAGGGGGAAACGGTCCTGGCCTTAAGAGGCTGATGGAAAAGCACCTTCCCCAAGACAACTGACCTGATTAGACCCATATCAGCATTTTAAGATACAATTTGTGTGTTTGTCTGTGAATTTTATGCAATAATCTCATAAAAATTCTGAATGAACTGATTCTCTGAAACAAAAAGCTCTTTCAGTTGTCTTCATTTTTCTCTCAACAGCAAAAAAAAAAAACAAAAAAACAAGAACTTGCTCTTCTTAATGCTTAGCATATCACTGAATATTAGGCCTCCAAATCTCATCTATGCATCATGCTGGCATGCCATAACATGTAACTGTAGCACAAAACTAGCACAAATTTGCATTTCTAGGGCCAATAATACAGTACATGTGATCTTTTGTCACCCTAAACCCCTAAAAAAGTGATTCTTCAAGGGTTCTTTAGTAAAGGCAATGTTTACACATAAAACCAACTCAGTTTTAACTCAAATTCTGTGCATAAACTGTGTTTGCATGGTTAATGGCTCTTTTTGCACAGATATCTTCTGTACTGTGCAATATCTGAGAACCCACCCTTCATTTATTTAAAATCCAGTAAAATGGCCATTAGATACAAGATGTTCATTCTTCAGCAACAGGAAACATAATTTAAAAGAAAATTACAGAGAAGCCTCAACAACTTAATATAATATCACATCACTTATATCACGTTACTATTTAGTTTCTACTCTTTGTTTTTATTACAGCTTCCATTCTTTTCAGGAGACTTGCTTTCAGGTTTTCAACATGCAGGGATATTTTTCCTCACCTTCAAGGTTTGGTCTTAGAAGTTGGTTGTATTTCTGCTTCTCATAATCCAAGTAATCCCATACACTCTGGGGTCGTCAGTCCATTGTTCTGAGAACATCAGAAGCTTCTTTATTTAATTTGCTATTTTTTTTTTGTCTTATTTTTGTCTTTTATTCAGATCTGAAGCAAGAGTGGGACCCGATTTACTCTTTAAAAAAGCAAGTACTGTTTATCTGATGGTGATAGTTAGGATAGATAGGGTCTATCAGGTCTTGCGCAATTGTTTGGAGACCCATTTTCTTTAAATATTTGTATCATTTTTGAGCTCCAGTTTTGGAAACTTCTGTTTTTTCACTCATTATCCTTTGACTTTCTCCTTCCTTATGCAAAGGAAGGAGGTCTTTGACTTTTGCACTTTACTGTAGACTTAATTCTTCTCCAAATACCCAGCAATCCAAGCTGTTAATTCAGGCAGGGGCACTACCACTATATATGTAGGCATTAATCTGACACTCCAACAGTATCCTTCTTATCAACATCGTTTTGGTATGCTGTCACACTATGACTGTGTATGTATCTAGTACTATGACTATGTATCAGTCACTCTGATTTTACTCCCATTATTCTTTTTTTTAATGAAAACCACAAAAATCTTGAATCTTTATGATTCCAGGAGGCCTCAAAGCCAATACCTGAGGGCTGGCAATCCGAGTTCAAGGTCAAATCGTGACTCCTTCTCATGTATAATAAAGAGCTATAGCTTTACACACATTCTAATGATAAGCATCTTCCACAAAACACTCCTTTCTTTCGGCCATTACTTTGATCGTGCACGTACATCTACTTCAGCTGGTCAACCATGGGCCCATCCCTCACCCCCGCTGCCACCACAGCGAAGAAGAAGCTGGGCAGCAGTGAGCGGATATAGAGGGCAGCCCAGGGGATGGGGTGAGCCACAAGCACCTCTTTCCTCCTGCCGTTCACCACCTTCACAATCTCACTGGCCAGGTCATTGGGGTTCACACCGTGTGTCTTCAGCTTTCTCAAAATGTCTACAGATAAAGAGACGAAGACACGATTGAACAAGTTGCTAGTGAAGTGAGGAAAACATGAGGCCTGCAAAAAACAAAGTCTCTCACATCAAAGCAATAAATCCTCCTTTTTTCTTTGATAAGATTACTTGTCTAAGAATATTTTGTTTATTGTGACAGTTAATATTTTAATTGTTCAGCAATAAAATCAACCTATCCCAAATGTAGTCAATCAGCCAAGAGATGTTTGGTGTCCAAGTTTTGCTTTTTTAGTTCAGAACTGCAGCTGCTAACAAACATTGGATGTCAATAGTCACCAAAACAGTTTCCACAAATCCATGCCAAAATCTTCACATATTTACTTCAAATTACATCAATTTAGCAAAATGGCATAGAAAGACATTATTTACAAGTTTAAGCTAAAATTAAGAACTATGAGTACCACTTTAGAACAAGGCTACCCTTATAAGTGGTTTATAAATGGTTTAAAATGAGTTTATTAATGGTTATTAATTAGGTCATAAACACCTTAAAAATCATTAGGAAACAGTTGTAACACATTAATAAAAGGTTATATCTGCTGTTATATCTGATGAAGCTAACAGTTTTGATGATGACTGATGGAGAAGACAAAGTAAGATAAGCAACCAGCAAAAAGTGCGGTTTAACTACACACTTTAGTAGTTCTTTAGTAGAGAAAACTGCTCTATATAGAACCATATAGAAAACTGTTCTATATAGAATACTCAAAGAACCCTTTATATGATTAAATCATCATGAAATTGTTCTTCAGATTGATGGGGAATAGAACCTTTTTGAAAAGGGTTCTGTATAGCACCAATAAGGGCTCTTCTATTGTAACAAGCCTGACATTGTAACAATAGAAAAACCCTTTTTGGTGCTATACAGAACCTTTTTCAAAATACAAATATATCTATTTACAATATTGTAAATACGTACTTATAGTATAACAATCTAATACAATATAGACACAAATAGGGCATTGATTGAAAATGTAGAAACTGCACTTTCAATAGAATGTCTTGGTTTATTTTAATCATCTACGAGTGGGAAATAATTACTGTAACGCTACAACATATCTGGCAACAACTGTGACTTCTAAGCATTTAAAATACTTTCAGTTCTAAGTTCTTGACATGATCTTATCTTGCCCTGTTGTGACAATGAGCTGCTCAGAAGCTGAACAGGAGAGTTTATTCTGGCATATTTCCTGTGTTGAAGGCGTGTTGAAGAATGTGTAAGTAGGTTCAGAGTTGTCTAGAAACAGAACCGGAATGGTTACGTCGGCAGTCGTTTGAGTGACTTTGCATGTTTTCATGTGTTACTGTATAATTACTCACATGCCCACAGGGCGTTGGTGGGCTGGAAGTTGGAGGGGGTGGGGTCCTGGGTGGTGGCGTTAATGAAGGTGTGGCTGATCGTACTGACGGAGATGCCGTACTCCTCCACCTCCGCTCTCAGACAGTCGAAGAAGGCCTGCACAGCGTGTTTGGAGGGAGCGTCTGAACAGAAGCAAAACAGTGACTGTGTAACACGCTTGTGTAATAATATTGTGTGTCATGCCAGGATTTTGGCAGTTCAATGTAACATTATATGTCATGCTGAGTGGTTTTAGGTTTTATAGCTAGAAATTTATGAAAATAAACCATTTTGATTTCTTCTCTTTCATTTTATTAGATTTAAATATAATGCTGTTTGACATTTTATGGAAAGCTCATATATAAATCTTACAAGAACTGCGGAATGGGACAGCCAGTCTCCCTTGGATGCTGTTGACAAGTACAAAGTGACCTGTTCTCCGGGCAACCATCATTGGCAGAATGCCTGAATTAAAATCAAAGCATTATTTTAACAGTCATCACCAACTATCTGATTGAAATGGCAGGTAATCTTGCAAAATCTTTACCTACACTCTTAAAAACGATGGCAATACTTCTTTTCAGAACCATGAGTTCTATATAGAACCATTTAATGCTTAAATGGTACTTTGCATGGTGAAACTGATCTTCAGATTTATGGAAAATGTGTTGTATATGGTTCTATATAGAGCCTTTTTTTAAAAAAAATGGTTCTACATAGCGCCAAAAATGGTTCTTCATTTGTTACAAGCTTGACATCATAACAAAGAAGGACCCTTTTTAGTGCCTTTTAGGAGTCGTTGTACTAAATAGAACCATTCCCTTGACTAAAGAACCCTGGAAAAAAATCTTTTTTAAGAGTGTATGGTACATTAAAGTGGTAGTTTGATAAAAAGTCAAATTTACACAATTTGCATCTTACCCAATATGTAGTAGATCATCAATGACATGTTTGGTGTCCTATGTTTGGTTTTTAATTTTGCACTGGAGCTAAGAGGCTAATCTAGCTAATGAGTACCCCACCAATTAGCATTGTGCAAACTACTTGCCTAATCTATTTCATATTTGCTTCAAATCATGTTGAGTGGTTAGGTGTTCTCAAATAGACTTCATTATGTGGGTTCTGTATGACACTGTTTTCCAAACAAATGCCTGAAAATATATCACTTTTGTAAGACGCTACTTGTATGGTGCTTTTATTACTTGTTAGCTACATTAGCCTTGCTGCAAAACTAAAGAAGCAAACTTTGGACACCAAACACAGAGTACTGTACGAAAGTAAAAAATGACCCTTCATTTATTTAACTTACAATGAAAACAGACATTAAGTACAAGTTGCTGATTTTTCTGGAGGTATTTCTGAGGAGATTTAATAATAGTATTAAAGAAGAAGTATGTCAAAGAACAATATGAAAAAACAGGAGTCTCCAAAACTGGGGTTTGATCAAAAGATGTGGAGAAAATGGGACTCCTACAACTATGCAAGACCTGGTAGACGATATATATATATATATATATATATATATATATATATTATATATATATATATATATTGAACAGGACTCTGCTTATCTTACGGACTACATTTGGGGTCAGTGGGAAATTACATGAATTAGATTTTTTGAATTAGCCAAATGACTTTCCAGAACAGTAATAGCTACCTTTGGCCAAAGTGATCGGCCCAAAGTAGTTCACGTCCATGACGGTTTTGTCCATGTCCAGGGAGAGGTTCTGAACTGGGGCTTTGACCTTCATGCTGCTGTTGCATATCAGAATGTCCACACAGCCGTAGCACTCCCCGATCTCTGTGATCACTTCCACCATGCTGTCTATATCACTGAAGTCCAGCAGCACCAGCTTGGGTGTGAAGGTCTTTGACAGGAAACACAGATAGCAGCCATCAGAGGGATGGAAACCAGAAGCCATTATAACAGTTGGAAACAGTCATAATGAGCCCCATGCTGAGGGAAAAAAAGACTGTGGGGCTGAAACTTTATGGAAATGCTGTGTGACCTTGCGGTGTGGTTATCACGTTTGAAGTGCTTCAATGAGAGTTAATCATTTGCAAACATGACATAGCCAATCACATTTGTGACTTATGAAGCTAAATATGAAGGTCCACTTTATAAAATCTAGTCTGTGGTTATTAAGATGACTTGCATCACAGCATGGCAACCACAACTTCTAACACACCCTTGAAAATTACAGTTTACCTTATTTCCCAGGTAGTTTGGCTTGTTCATGATTATATGACCAAACATTAAAAATCTATGAACTTACTGGAATTTCACATGCTTTAAATGCTTTGTAGAGGGGTGGTATGGAAGAGCGGAGCTTCACATGAATAACACAAGAATACAGAATGGTTTCTCTTTGGGACATTCAGATACTTTTTATTTAGAAATGAGTGCATGTCTGTGATAGTAAGCCCACTCACTAGCTATGTTTGTCCCCAACATTGGTGAACATCCAGTATGCTAACAACAGAATATGCTAACTTTAGCACTGCACACCGTTTGCCGTGATTAAACAAATATCTCAGACATTATCAGTTATATAAGCACTGCATAAATTAATTTGTCTTCAAACCTTTAAAAAGTAATCTGCATGCTAGTCTTATGTAGGAGTTAGGCAGGCTGTCTAAATCCATTGTTCACCAAAGCTTAACTGAGGGTGCAATGTATGCTACCACTGTATAACCAGGTCTGAGCATCTAGTCATCTGGAACTATTAAACTATGAGTAATTATAGCCTTATTTTATGAACTGCTTCATACTGAATGTATGAATATGAGTAAAATTTTGTATCTTGGAATCAAACATTTTGCAAACAGCACTGGAGAGAATCATTTAGATACGACTATGTTTAGCAATGCTAAGAAGTTGAGCTTTAGCACTGTCCATTTAGCATTTTGGATAGACTGTAGATTGTTAACATCTACCATAATTTCTGCCATGTCCTTAGAAACTAATAAAGTTACTGTCTGTCTATCCATCTATCTATCTATCTATCTATCTATCTATCTATCTATCTATCTATCTATCTATCTATCTATCTGTCTGTCTATCTATCTATCTATCTATCTATCTATCTATCTGTCTGTCTGTCTGTCTGTCTATCTGTCTGTCTGTCTGTCTGTCTGTTTACCCTATATGTCCTAAAGTTTAATTTCATTAATGAAATTAATGAATTTAATTACTTTAAGAAGCACATCTGGCTGACACAGATAATCACATACACACATTGTGTAATCTCCAAAAAAAGCATTGACTAGTTGAAGGGGTTGCTCTGAAGGAGCCGTAGCCTAAGGTCACCATTCCCAATGCCAAGCATCAGCTAGAGGGGTACAAAGCCCCCAGCACTGGGCTGAGCAGCAGTGGAACTGCATTTACTGGAGTGATGGAACACCATCCAGTACCTTTGGCATGAGCTGGAGTGACATTTATTTTCCAGAACTAATCAAACAACATCTTGGATGCTCTTGTGGCTGAATTCAATCAAATCCTCACAGCAATGTTCCAACATCTAGTGTAAAGCCTTCTCAAAAGAATAACAATCATATTTCACTCCATTCAGTTGCACATTGATTCCAGTGGATCCAAAACCAGAGATGATGGGAATCGCAGTGATGTGAAAGGTAATATATTCGTTTCAGAGTGTTCTGGAATTTGTAAGATAGCAGTAGATACATTGCTGTCAGGGAGGATATCCTGCCATTGTTCATCAAAGAAGAGGAAAAGAAGATTGCGACACACAGATATAGTTTGAAGCACAAGCATTTAGGAGCCCGAAAAAAGAAAAATAAAATGTGGAAAAGGTCATGACTCTTCTGCTCAAAGCTCTGCGTGTCCTTGGCGGTGGTCCTTCCTGTCTTCTTTGTCTGGTATAAAGATAGGGCGTCTAACCCAGGTATGCAGATAAATACATGACGTCAAACTCACAGTCCATACGGCTCTCTGATTTAAGCTTTACTCACTTTGCTGGGGTCTGCGGCACTGCACAGTGAGTCACTCAGAGACTCCAGCTTATCCCAGCTGGGTCCACACAGCACCAACCGCGCACCTCCCTCATGAAGCAGCCTGGCACACTCTGAAACAGAGAGAGAGAGAGGGAGAGAGAGAGAGAGAGAGAGAGAGAGAGAGAGAGAGATATCAGCAAACACACGACATATCAAATTCAAAGACATTCTGAAATTCATGTTTCTACTGTTTATTCAAATTGCTACGCTGATAATAACAGAATTTGTAATGAATTTCTATTCCAGTGGTTTGAGACATTTGGACCCCACTGTTAATAGGTTGATGAGAACATTGAACACATTCTCTATCCAGAACAAATGTAAAACATAAAATCTAGAATGTATTGTAAGTTTTGCACAGGACTCATTTGAAAACGTACAGAAGTATGTTTTCAGTAGAGGAACGAGTGCTCAAACCTTTGCATATGACTGTATATGGGTTATTTCACTGTGATATTGTGGATTTATATGGAAAAAAAATCAAGCAAAAAGTTTTGTAATCATAAATGAAAGGTTTTACTCATCTTAAATATCAAACCACGTCTTAAATTATTTTACTGTTTCTTTACTGAGCTTGTATTAAGTATACAATGAGTTTTTATTAGGTTTGTCAAACAAACCGCAAACCTCAATGGAAAAAATAAACATTAGACTATCAAACAGTTGTATCACTCCCATAAATGCTAATATGAAAAAAACACATAACTGTCCTTATTCAGATAAATGTCTTAGGGTTTAAGGAGAAATGAGTCCCCTTTGAAGACAATGTGAGGTCAACAAGGCCTCTGAAATGGATTTTTAGTTTATGCCACTTTGAATGCAGGGATAGATTACTGACTGCCAGGGGCCTCAGACCACAAAGCCCGAGGGCACTCAAATACTTGGGGGCAATCGCCCGCAGATATAAGCATTATATGAATGAATAACCATTGAATATGTACAAATGACTAAATAAATTAAATAAAACAAGAAATGTTATTTGTTCTCAAGCCACTTAGGTTTTATATTATCACTGAATTTGTTTCTGCTATTCAAGCAGCATGTTTTGCCCTTCGATGTGTGTAGGAATATTTCTGTTTCCGCATTCAACAGACTTTGACTAGCATTGATTTTGAACATAATGATCAAATCTCAGGCAGATAAGTTACCAAAAAATTATATAAATAGGTAATTACAGTACTTTATTAATAACCTCTTGATGTTCCCAAAAATATAAAACATCTCAAAATACCTTCTGGTGCCCAGCTTAAAGTATTTCAATGTGCATTGTTTAAGTTAATATTGAATAAAGTAACAGCAGTTATTAACATAAACAAGTGATTCCAAATGTTTGAACACTAAGGTATTTTTCTTTTATTTCTTTATTTTACAGTTTACTCATTTATTTATTATTTAGCACATTACATTACATTACCTTACCACATAAAATGTTATTTCAATCTTGGGATGCAAAATCTGTATGCCATATGCGCCAGTCACTGTTCTGAAAGGCCTTCCTGCTCTGTTTAGCTTTCTCCTACAGCTTTCTCTGTGTTTAACCATAGTTGTACAAAGGTCTTGGAAATAACGCACTTAAAATAACACTTGTCTGCTCTATTTGTGCTCTGTCCCTAATAGAAAAGGCCACATGTCATGATTCATGCTTTCTACAAATACTATTTGACTGAGTTTACTTTCTGGAAAAAGTATTGAGTCATAGACTCACACAATTAATAAGCAACTCAAAGTGCAGTACATAAATCACTTAAAGAAATTCAAAGAACTGATTGAGCTTTGTTGTTTTTATATTGCCCACCCCGACCAGGGTCCTTTCTGAGTGGAGTTTGCATGTTCTCTCCGTGTCTGTGTGGGTTTCCTCCGGGTGCTCCCACAGTCCAAAAACATGAAGTCAGGCTAATTGGACACACTAAACTGCCCCTAGGTGTGAGTGAATGTGTGGATGTATATATGTGTGTATGTCTGTCTGTCTGCCCTGCGATGGACTGGTGACCTGTCCAGGGTGTATCCTGCCTTCTGCCCAGTGGCCGCTGGGATAGGGCCCCTTGCGGCCCAGAAGGATAAGCGGTTTAGAAAATGTGTGTGTGTGTGTGTGTGTGTGTGTGTGTGTGTGTGTGTATTGCCCACCCTAAATGATATGTTTTATATTCTGAACGTTACAACAAATAATAACAAAAAAAATTATATTTCTGAAATGTATCTACTTTTGTATTTACTTTACTTTCAATGTAAGTAAATGTAACAAGATTTTATTACAAGCAATTCTGGAACTTTTCTACTGGGCTATTGATCATAAAATTTTGACACAATGTAAAGGAAGGTGTTCAAGTGAGGTAGAAAAACAAAAATGGAAAAAATAGAGATAGATGAGTCTAAATATTGAAATCCTGACTCTGTAAAATACCAAAAAATGCATTTGCACACTCATAGGAAGGCCTATACATGAAGACATAGTCTGCATTAAAAAAAAAAATCATCGTGAGGGGATAAATAAAAGTATAGGGGAATATTACCGCTTCCCATTCCAGACACGGCATCCGTAATCACCACCACTTTGTTCCGCACTATGGTCTTGGACATGAGCTGGATGACCTCATTGTAAATGTAGTAGAATCCGGCGAACACCACCACCAGCAGGGGCAATATCATCACAGATGGGAGACCCATCTGCAGAAAAAAAAAAAAAAATAAATAAAAAATAATGCAAGGTTTATCTGGCGTGCGTGTAATACTCTACACTACCACCAAACAAAACAGACATAATCATTTAAACTGACCTTTGAAGGGAATTCGTGACTCATTGCTTTGTGCGTTAGGCCTGCTTTCTAAACTCACTCTCCTCTCTGATGACAGCAGAGCACATGGGAAGTGGGTGGGATTGATGATAAAGCTGTCATGCTGTTGACATTCATTTCAAGTGGGCCAAATACAAACACTTCAGACAATCCCTGCAAGCGTCCATTTTATCTATTCATCCATGCTTTTCATGTGATGATCGAATTAAAGCTACATATATTCTCGTATGTGTATTTTTGTTGTTATGCATACAGAAGAACTACGACATGACACAAAAGATCACATTTTAAAGAAACAGTTCACTGAAAAATACAACATTTTCCCCAAATGTATCTTTGTGTCTTAAGTTTGTTTCTTTAGTCTTGCATACTTACGTGGCTAATGTAGCTAAAGCTAATGGAATTCTATGTCTCCCAAAATCCCTTCTGTTATAGCTCCAAAGCAAGGCTAAAGCATTAAACTCCAAACCTCAAACACCAAACGAGTCTTGGCCAATCAGTAAGAGACAAATTCAGTAAACTTCATTTTTTGGTGAACTAACCCTTTAAGAAACAACTGTCTGCTCACTGAACTGTGATCTAATCAGCAGACTAATGAAACAAAGGCAAAGCAACAGAGTAGAGAGACAATAACATGATCAGCAACTGCTCAAAATGATTTTATCTTACAGCACATTTCTCAGTTATCTACGACGCTTGTGTACTGATAGCACGGCTGTCACTATTGCCATGTAAAGAGTGGTTGAGGACATGGTTCTAAATATACATTGCCCTAGACTAATCTGTTGCCACAAATGCCATGCTGTGCGACACTGGATATTCAAGGAGAGAGGACTGGGATACTGTACATTCACATTTTGTTCTTAGTATTCTTAATCATACAGTGTTTTTTTTTAATCTTTGAAATCACAGAGGGTTTATTCCTGCTTGTTTTGAAACGCACCCCTGAGCATAACACAAGTTTACAGAGCTTCAGTTCTGCCCACACACATACGCAAGCAGACACGCAGAGCCGTAATCTGTCTTATTTTCAGTTCACTTACAGTGGGAGTGAGGAGTTAAGCCTCCAGTGGAAAAGTCTGTTGTTTTCCGCTTAGGTAACCAGCTTGAACCCTTTCTTCCTCCTGGCCCATTCACAGCCCCCCAGTCTCAGTCTCAGTCTCTCTCTCTCTCTTTCTCTCCCTCCCTCTCTCTCTCTCACTGGCAGCAGGGGCAGCTTGTCAGGATCTAGGGTCTTTTAATAGCATGTAGCTGACTCAGTGATTTTTAATGTGTGTTGTAGTTGAGCATGTGGATGACAACCAAGAAGATGACAAATGGTGTCTCCTACAGAAGGCTGACTTCATAGAATGAACCCTGAATCTCCCCTAGTGCACGAAGAGCTTCATATTTAGTCTTTGATAAAAAAAGAGAACGTTTCAGCTCCGCAAATGCAGAGCAGATGTAAAATTAACTACTGTAAAATACAATATAATACTACTACTACGATCGCTACTACTACTGCTAATATTAATAATAATAATAATAATAATAATAATAATAATAACAATATAAGCGTTTATTAAATGTTTCCTTATATATGACCTTTCTGAAGTTTAGTTAAATATATTCACCCCTGGTCAAATTAATTGTTTTATTAATTTTCTAAGGGAAAATAAGTTAAATTTAAAATAAGTTTAAAATAAGTAAAATAACTTATTTAAGTTTGTTCTCTTTACAGAAAACAAACTTAAATATGGCATTTTTCTGCTAATTTTATTGTGCAATTTCTATTTATTCACTGAGTTAAACATACTGGGAAAAACATATAATATAAAATGTGTAACAACTTTTGCACAAGCCGCATTTAATATTTTGTTCATATATATTAATATAATATTCACCATTTTTAATATTAATATGTTATGATAACATATGTTAAATCCATCAAACAAACACTAAGTGTGCATTAAGATGTGCTGTGTGTTCTCTGTAGAGAGACAAGTGACTTACTTTCACTTAGAAAATCAACAACACATGTCATTTGTCCAGGGGCACCCAGACATGATTGTAGATACATACCTATGCAGATCTCACATGGTACTGTACAAAAGTCAGACACAATCCTTTCATTTATTTGATTTCCAGTCAAACAGCCATTAAGTACAATTTACACATTTTTCAGGAAACACAGGCTATATTTAACATATATGTTCTGCTCAAAACGTGTAATGCTGGTGCCCCTGGAAAGACTCTACCAACCAAGTTTTATACATCATGCAGTAGCCACTGGAAAATGTTTAATTGCAAACAAATTCAAATTCAAAGAAGAAATTCAAATTAAAGGAAAATTCAGGAGAAAGACCTCAGACACACTACTGGAAAGATCAAAATGTATTTAAGCAATAATAAATAGAAGAATGGACCGACCAGTGTCCAAGATCTCAACATCGTTGAATGTGGTTGGAATTACTTGGATTGTGAGAAGTAGATAATGCAACCAACTTCTAAGACTGAAAGACTGAACTTTGGAGGGAGGTGTTTATTAGAACCCCTGAGAAACTATCCTTTAGAAAAACTGCGTCTCTAGAAATGAATAAAATTTGTAAAATTTGTGATTAAAAAGGCAAAGGATGCAAACACTAAACACTGAAGACTTGTGTGTAATTTTCCACACACACACATTATATATATATATATATATATATATATATATATATATATATATTATGTACATATATATATATATGAAATCCACTGAGATGCACAGTTGTTCTCGGTGACTCTGTGCTTGCTTTCTGCTTCTAATATTTGACTTTGTTTGCCAAAGCCCAAAGCAGGGCGGCGTTGTGGAGCCAAATATCGCGAGATTTCATCAGAATTCCAGCATGACCGTACGAGAGTGGAGTCTCCCTCCTCCGTTGGGAGAGATCCGTCCAGCCCGAGGAGCTGAGGGAGAGAAAAACGCACATTCGCGCAACTAACGCCGCCTGTCCGCTTAACAAACCCGGCCCAGCCCGGCTACCCGTGTTCCGCGAGGGTCATAACGTTATGTCGAACCCGTAACGTTTTAAAGCCAAGAGAAAAAAAACATGCGGTTGCGACGGAGACAGAAACGGACTGTGAGTAGCGCAGAGTTACTAGGAGACATTTCATTAGCTTGTTAGCTAACGAGGCGGCTAGCTTAGCTCAAAGAAGCGGCGGTGGTGAACTTCGAAGCTAGGGAACGATTGTAATTAAACTCAGGCTACCTCATCATTAGTGCTTTTCATTTTCATTACCAATGGGATTTTGGCATCGCCACACAGAAAGCGTGTTTCCGGCTGAAGGTTGAGGTGGCGAAGCGCTTGTGTGGCTGTTTTGTTTACGGCTCTCTCACGGTAACAGTGCTGAGCAGCGCTCCTTAATCACTCCGTGTCTGCTCTGCTTTGTGAATGCAGGCCATGGACTGAACAGCCTCCACCAGCCAAAAAGGTAGCTAACGTGCTGGCTAGCTAGCTGTCTGTTTATACAAAGTCAGATACAGACCTGTAAATTTTACCTCGCAACTCCCAAGCCAGCTGAAGGAGGAAAACGGGGCTGGATCGTGCAAAAACCTGTGCTTCGGATCATGTTTTGGATGGTCGAGTCTGTCATAAATTGGATGAGAGACTTGTGAAGATCACAACCGGATTATTTCATTCCGTTTGAGCCGTCAAATTTGGGACCTTATCTGAGGGAGCTGATTAAAATAGAGGGCTACGATGTCTGCTGCAAAAGAAAACCCTTGCAGGAAGTTCCAAGCGAACATTTTCAACAAAAGCAAGTGTCAGAACTGCTTTAAACCTCGGGAGCTGCATCTTTTGACCGACCAAGACCTAAATCAGGTAAATAGTATTGACTGGGTTATGTTTGCTGGTCAGTGATCAGGCTGGGCTCTTCTTATTCATTTCACACTCTACCTTAAATGTGACTAATTCAGTTAATTAATTCAGTTATGAAATTGGCCATCCCAAACAGGATTAAGATTCCCAGGTCGAGTTGTGTAACCATCAGAATATCTAAAACTGTAGTCAGCTACGCTGACAAATGAGTTTCTAGCAGGATTACAGGTAATTGTCAAATGTTAGCGCTTGTTAATGGCAGAGGTGTTTGACAGATGGTGTGAACTGTATTAGTTTATTCTTTTAAATGTCTTTTTTTTATTGAAAGCCATATTTTCACTGTCAGATGGATGGATGGATATTTTCGCTGTTTCAGTTAGGATGCTTATGGACCGCTTTGTCCTCAAACTGCTTTCAGCCATAGCACCATTGCGAAAAAAAAAATGACCTATGTTATATGGCCTCTGAAAGACTGGGTTTGATTTTTTTTTTCTTGCCATACAAGAGGGTCAGGCTGTGCCTCGGTGAGAACTGAATCTGCTCTTTGCCCTTGTTCGCCCCTGTTTGAATGAGTCAGTTAAAAAGAGTGAGTAACAGCATTAATGATAATAATGACATCAAGTTGTGCTAGATGGCTCAGGATTGTGCTGCTTTGGGCAAGTCAGAAGATAATTTGAATGTTTTCTGGGTTCTGCTGATTGTGAGCTTTCTCCAGACAGCCCAAAACCCAATGCAAGTGGTGCCTTTTGGCTTATTTGGCTCTTTTGGTGAAGAAGTTTATAGAAACTTGAAACATGAAATTTTCCTTCTGTCAAATACGGTAACTTTAGACCCCACTTAGGAGTTGCCAAAACACTTGAGGACATACTTCAGCTCTGACTCTGAATTCACCAAAATAAAGTATTGCAAGTTTGGGTTTCGAGATTCCATTCTGAAGGACTGTGGCGGCTAGGCAGTAACAGTTGAGGGTACTTAAGTTTGGATCTTATAAATGTAGTCAGTTCTGTTCCTTTTTAAGCTAGTCTTCATTCGGTTGTGTTACCATCAGGTTTTGTCCTGTAGCGGAGGAAATTTTTAAGCAGGTCTGCAGTGCTGTGTTTATTTCAAAACAACAGCCATTCACAAATTTGTCTCCTTTAGTCAAGAGTAATGGAGTAATCTGACCAGCCTGTGTCAGCATCCAAAAAATTGTCAGCTTCCATTTTGTGGAGCCATCCTGTAAATGGCTTGCTGGTTGCCAGCTTAAAGAGTTCAAGAGAAAGCTGTACTCCTGCCAAGCGTTCAGTGATCAGGGTACCTTTTAAAGACAAGATCTCGGGACTTATTTCAGGTGCTTCATGACTTTGCAGTCTTCGTAGCACTGCAGTCTCAGCTGCTGGAGTTTAGGCCTGAATTGGTTGTTCTGCCTCAGTGTCTACAATTTCTGTTTTAGGGTATGTAAGAAGGGATCTTGAAATTACTTTAATTTAATTCAGCAAAGAATGAGCAGAATGAGAGGGTGTTTTAGACCAGGGCTGCTCAAAGCAGCGCCTGTGGGTCCAAGATGGGAATGAGGACCTTTGATTAGGTCTGCTGGAAAATAAGTGAAATGCAAATGTTCCAGCACTGTAGCTCAGCATCGCTTAATCGTTTTGCTCTTTTGGATAAAAATAAATATGCCATCAAAAATTGCTTTGGAACATCAGTCTAATCATCTGTTGATGCCAATGTTTTGATTTTAGGAAGAAAAATTATAATGGATCCCAGAAAAAAAACAGTGGAAAATTACGCCATGCAATTGGCAGGGACAGCACTTTAATGAGAAATCGATGTAGATCTAACTGTCATTATAGAAAAACTATGAATAAACATACTCACATACTTATAACTCGCTTTGAAGCCTGCCTACCTTCTTTATCTTTATTTTGTTTTGTTTTATCTTTTTTGCCCCGTCCCACTATAGCCATTAGACTTTCACCTCACCCAAGACAAAAAAAATTTGAGCACCCCTGTTCAGACTGTTAAGGGAAGTTACATACTTTAATCGATCCCTTGCACTCTGCCAGGACAGCACTTTGAGCAGAACTGAAGACCTATAGCAGTGTCAGCATCTTGCTGGACACGTGAGAAGACTGTGTGTAATTAACTGCAGTTAACCCTTGCTCTACGTTGTCCAGATTACATCACTCATCAGTCTCCCTCAGACTGATGTCATGCTGATAGATATGTCGTTCAAAAGATCTACCATGAGTGTGCATATAGAGCTAAAGACCTGCTTGTGACGTAACTGACAATGTATGCTTGCGGCTCGAGAGTCCAACAGGGGACTTTGATTTAAACTGGTTTACTAACTTCAAAAAATGATATGAAACATGCTCATCTGGATCGTGTAATTAATGATGATAGCTAAAAAGCTGATGTGGTTGGATGTTTGTACGTTATTGTCAAGATATGCGTTGCTGCTTCACTTGATTACCAGTCAGTGTGGTTGAATATTATTGGTAACAGATATTTGTTCATCTGCGATTATTGCAGTGTTAACTTGCTGATCAAACATTAACAAAATAGCCTGTTCTTGGCTGCTGTTGTTCAGCATTTTTGCAAAAACACGTTTTTTTCTTTCTCAAAGTCAAGACAAATTTGTTTGTTTTTGTTTTGTTTTGTTTTGTGTAAAGTTTTAACTTTTACAAGTGTGCTTGTGCAGCTGTGCGGTAGCCATTTGAGTTTTGATTTTTCTTTTCTGTGGTGGGCAGCAGGACAAATAGATGGATGTACGCCTGCTCTGGGTATAAGTAACATGGCTACAGGAAGAGGATGTATAACCATATAAGGATGTAGATAGAATGTAGAAAGAATAGAGAATCAGTTTTGAATGGATATTAGCCAGGTTAATGAAGCTTGTTGGTTCAGCATTTTGCAGTACACAAAGTCTAAAGTATCCATCTTTTTCTTTTCGGTCATTCAGAAATAGCTCCTCTCTGTTTGGTTTTCACTTCCTAACTTTTCATGTCCTACTAATATTAAACATGTTTCCTCCACGTTTGAGAGAGTTTTCAATCAATGTTGGAGCCCTAATCTGTATAATTGTATAGTGTGTGAAAATGGCACTGCTCTATATTTTGCAGTTCTGTTGGTTGTGTTTTAGAGAGTTTAAATTTAAAATATGACCAGCCCTCTTCTCATGTCAAACATATCTTCTGTACTCTTACTTCAGAACTGCTCCACTGGTACTGCATAGGTTACGTGGTGTGTTTGTTCATTTGCTTAAACATATTTACTCATGGTACTCATAGTAACAGACCTTCAAACCTGCCACTGCAATGCAGCGTTATTATTTAAGGCAAGCTGTTTAAGTGAGAGACTTAACAGGTGAAAATCCCCATTGAGATTTTGTTGTTTGGGTAACAGAATAACAGTTAACCATTAACATCTCTAGTGTCAAGGGGATTAGTGTCAAAAACATGACTCGTTGACACAGTAAGAAAAAGCTACAATAAAGGGAAGAAATCTGAAATCCAGTAACAGTAGATGGACAGGTACTTGATAGATGTCAAGATAAATAATATTTTAACACTGACTATAAAATTTATGTGAACAGTGTGCATCTTTTTGATAATGAACGAATGAATGAACAAGTGCTGTGAACTTCATAAAGCTGTTACCTGTCATACAACTGTAGTGGCTAGAAGGGTTTAACTGGTATACTTAAAACCTATGTTTTGGACCAGTAGGACAAAGTATTTAACAGTTCATGAAATATTCTGTTAGATGAAGATCAGTAAAATCAAAATTTTATTAAATTGTGTAAAATGCTGATATTTTAACACTGTAGCATCTCCTAAACATTTGTGCTTTTCTGGAGTACAAGAAATATGATGAAAATATGCTTAAATGCAGAATAGCAGTGACTCACTGGCATATACTTCACTTTTAGCCTGATACAAGTTATGTTTTGTGAGATGATCAACCACAGTCGAATAGGTTGTTCAGGCAGTAGCCAGTGAGGGGTACATGTGTGGTGATAGAGGATTTAGGTGTAGTACAGTGCTTGGCAACAGTAATGATTTCTGTGCAAAAAAGTGATATTTGTAATACCACTAGAACTGCTGCCTAATAGCTGGTTTGCCTATTCATTAAGCATCAAGTAGCCTATAATAGAGTATCAGCTACAGGGGACTGTCCGTACAAAGAACCGAAAGGGCTTTTCTGTTGCTATTGCATTGCAGAAGAGTGCTAACCATTTTGTGAATGATTTATATTTGACATGCATGGTTATGCTATCTAATGCAGCTTTAGCGTTTAGGGATAACATTACTTACAGAGAAGATATGTTTAGAGTTAAATTGCTGGGGTAATAGTGCATTTCTTGTGCAATTGTACTATTATCATGCTACTGAATTACTTCTTATTGAACGTTTGCATTGCGTTGTGCTATTTTAATGTTACTAAATTATCTGTTATCGAATGTTTGCATTCAACAAAGAATCTAATCTTAACAGTAAGCAAGACCTAGCTTTGCTGGACCTTTATCAGCGGTATGACATTTGTGGAGACTTTCTCTCATATCACTCCTACTACTACTAATGAAGGCAATATCAGTAATAATAATAATAATAATAATAATAATTATTTATTATTATTATTATTATTATTACAGCTGCAATTACTGCTACTACTGTTACTACTAGTAATCAGAATAATAAATCCATGAAGACAGATTTAGCTAGCTCTCTAGTTTGGTTTAAATTAAAATAATATACTGTTTTCAGCATAGCAGCATGTCTGTCAGACTCTACGGTAATTTCTGCTTCTCGTCATAGCTTCTGAGTTACATCACGCTATCTTGGCAAACTCTTTACAAAGTGATCATTTTAAAAATGTTATTCTATTTCGTTGATTATTTGTTAGCTGTTTGTTAATAGTGTTGGTGGGGTATAATAATGTACAGAGCCACCTGCTGCTTGTCTCAGGCAACGCTTGTGCAGGCGCATTTCGGCAATGGGTATCAGTCAGTCAGTCAGCAAGTCAGTAAAAGACAGCAACCCTGCCACCCACAGTGAGGTATCATTGGTCACAGGCTGTTAGCTAATTGTAATTCATCAGTGCCCTACCAATTCAGCATAGCACATCAATATGACACTAACTCACATTTACAAAGAGCTGTGTTATTTTAAGATACTAGCCAATTGGCCAAAAGGCAGGTGGGTACAAAAGGTCATTTCAAAAGAGGGTAAGAGCAATTGCAACAAAGGACAGAAGCTTAGACAGCTGAGGAATGATAGTTGTCATAGTGAGTTCATATCTGGGAGTGAACAATAGTGTCTGAATGATGCAACCATAGCTCTGAGCTTAAAGCACTTTTTTTTGTTTCTTTATATGAAAAATGTCTGCTTTGTTTATCTGTAGACCTCCTGTCAGCATCAGGGAGCTGGGTTGCGGGGTGTGGGAGGTCGAGGCTTGATGTGGAGGCGAGAAGGGGGGACGAGGGCTTGTGAAAGGAAATGTGGGTTGGGAAAGTGGAGTTTCCCAAAGTTCGCTTGCACTTCAGAAGCAACACAGTCTGGAATAGGGGGACTGGTGAGCTGAAGCGGGGGGATGTGTCTCGAGGGGGGTCCCAAGCCGGCAAGACCCAGAGAGTGCATCCAGGGGTGAGAGGGATGCTGGGATAAAGCGGCCCGCTGGGAGCGGCCCGCGCCCCTAGGACTTAGCCTGGGAGGAAATTGGAAGTTAAACCTGATGCCGACAAGAGGGCTGTGGGGTTAGAAGAGGAGCTCTGGAGAGGAAGCAGGCCTTCAATGTGTGGAGGAAAAGTGCAGGGGTGTGCCGCCGTTCTCCTGGCCCCGTGGCTCTGCAACGCTGCAGTCACAGCTGTGTTTTGTTGTTGTGCTTCTTTACCCTCCTCGAAAGAGGAAGGAGCTATTGGTCCCAGTTCTTTTTTTGGATTCTCCCGGGTTTGGTGTGCCTCACAAAACTATACTAAATCGCTTGACTTGTCACCCACTGAATGACAGATAAAATGTGCACCAAGTTGACCTTCTTAATGTCATAGTGTGCTGAGTATGCAGGTAGAGCAGTGTTCATTTAGTTATCCTCTTTAATGTTTTAGTATAAAAGAGAAGGATATTGTGAAGATAAAAATCAATTTGCAGTGTAGTAGATCAAAACATTTTCTTGTAAAGCCTTTTTAGTCTAGTATTTCATTCAAATTCTTTATTTATTTAAAAGCAGGCAACACTTGCCCACATTTTTGGGAGTGTATTCAGTTTCAAGACCATTAGCTGAATGCTACTGTCATACTCAAGCTTTTCTGACGTGGCTTTGGCAGCGAACTTGTCTGGTCCTGCAGTGCTGCATATGCTTTCAGTGCTACTCCAACCAGCTTCTGATGTTTTGTTAGAGCTGAGTGTTAAAGCATCTGAATAGTCCCAAAGGTACATGTTGACCATGTGATAAATCTGCACAAATGCAGTTTTGCACCCAGGGGTCCATATAGAAAAAAGTAATGGGCACGATTTAGCGCTGTGACATCAAAAACACTCCTGTTCTTGATGAGTGTATATCCACGTCCATGGCAGTTATTATTTGAAACCCTTCTATGAATGGGAAAACTCACTGAACTGTACTTTACTGTAATTTTTTTGCATAATGTGTGTTGTTGTGTTTGGGTTTTACACATACAAGAAATGCCAGTACTATATAATGATTAATACCTCTTTTAATAGAGGAATCAAAATATGTTTGCTATTTTTCCTTCAAACCTTTTTTTTGTTACATAAACCATTCTAGAATGTGTTAATTAACCACTAGAACCTGACAAGCCTGGTACCAGGAACCAAAAGAAAAAAATGCTGCTCATTTAAATCTGCATGTCTCTGTCACTATGTAATTCCTTTTTTGTTGGATGGATCTTGTTTCTCCCAGCGAGTGCGTGAATTCGGGACTGAGTATTCCAGAAGCGTTTTAGTACAAGATGATTTATACATGGTAGAGGAAGCATCACACTGATTGCTCATTCTGCCATGATCTTAACACTTATTTGCTTTTGGGAGACCTGTCCCTGATCGTTATGCACTTATTATTTATGTGTATAATCAGAGTAACATATCCTCTGAATTAGGTACACAAGAATAAATAAAACGGCAGAAATAGCCACTTTTCTTCATCAGCCTCTTAAGGGATAAAAAGTTAGTAAAGAACATGAATAGGTTACATACATACAGTTTGACTAATTAAAATAGACCACATTTGTTGCTGATGTGCACATCATATCTGTGCATCTCTGTATGATGTCTGCATTGCTTAAATGGATCCCTATAAGACAAACACTGTTTTGTGTGTGTGTGTGTCTATGTCCGTGTTTAGTTGCAGTGCCATGTTAGATAAGTGCTGATCAGCTCCGGTTGTGGGCAGGAATATGATAGTGCTTAAGTGGTGTGGTCATGTTTGATTATATATATTTTATAGAATCTATTAAACTGTTGCTGATTTAACGTTTTATGTTCTTCACAGGCCAAACCTATCTATGGAGGGTGGCTGTGCTTGGCACCAGAGGGAACGGATTTTGACAATCCAATGCATAGATCACGGGTAAATATTTGGATGCGAGACATGAAATATTTTAAAAGTAACCGTAAGTCTCAATTTAAAACACTATGTTGAATAATAAATTGTAAATATTTTTTTATTACCCAAGAAATAACTAAAATGGCATAGAACAGTGCCTAAACTGATGCCTAAACATGGATTAAAAATGTGGATAGTGAACCAAAAAAAGCCTAAGCTAATAGTGCCACACACAAAATCACATTTTTTTATCTTCTAAACTAGCATCAGTGAAGCTTCAGTGAGTTGGAATGAACCTGTGCTGTCGCATGTGAAGCTGTAGCATGCTGAACTGCTGCTATCATCTCCTAGAACTGCTCCATATTTGAGGTTTTTAGATAATTTTAACATCTTAGCTTACAGCTTATTGCACAGTCCAAACATTTCAAACAAAAAAGCTACGTTAGGGTAGACATGTTTTGTATCTGTAAGCAAGATTCCTGATGTCATGTCATAGTCCTCTCATTGTCATGTTGTTGTTATTAGACTGTGATAAGTTCAAGCTCAAAAATTAGCTATTACATAGCGCTCCACAAATAGTTTTTCTCAGATGTACTGAGAAAGCCTGCATTTTCAATCAGAAAATGTGAACTATAGGAACACATTTCACACAAGTATCAGTCCGTATAACCTTAATAAGCACTCGAAGAGGAGTTAATCATTTAAAAAACACATTTTTGGGTGCAGAAAATCTCACAGCAGAAGATGTGCGAGAATGGAACAGGCAGCTTTTATTGTTACATTAGGCATCACAGTGTTTTTCACAATTAGGCACACAATGCTTCAAGACTTTTTCACACTGTATGATACAAATCACTATGTTTATTTTTCTCATTTTTGAAAGTTTAGTTCAGCCAGAAAAATGCAGTAGTGCCACATTAAAAATAAATTAATACAACTCAAAAGCATATTGTGACAAAATTTAAAGCAGTAATGATAAACTATCACTGTGTTGCCCACCCCTGTGTTTATATACATGTGTTTATGTTTTGTAATAGTTTGAGACAGCTGTTCTTCTGATCTTTCCCTTTCTGCAGAAATGGCAGCGGAGATTCTTTGTCCTCTATGAACATGGCTGTTTGCGCTTCGCTCTGGATGAATCGGTAAGTCCTGAGGGCGTCCTTACTATTTCTGAAAGTTTGCACAAGTGCTGTTAAACATTTCTCTGCTCACCACACGTGGCCAGACGTTTTCCCCACATTAATCTTTCTGACTGCTGACTGCCATCACTGATGCTTTATTTCTAAGTAAAAAAAAAAAACAACAGAACATAAGACTGTTTATTGCTGCCTTTATTACTTCCTAGCTCATTAAAATACAGACTGAAGGGAGTGTGGAGTGCAAAGAGGAAGTGATGTATCCTATAGCAGCGTCACAGGGAGGGCGCTGGAGCTAACGAGAGCCTTGCTTAGCCTGTTTGACTCACTGGAATGTGACATGGGTGACCAAATTAGCTGCCTGATCAGCTCAGAGATTACAGTGTTTGTATATAAACAGTGAGGCCCACACACAGACCTGTCATAAAGATCGAGAGCCGTGGGGCCCCACCATTGCGTCCCTGCAAACCCCAGCAGTATACCTCTGCTGATATTGAATTTGAATCCCTATCAGTAACTGAAGAACTGTTAGTTTATAGCAGGGCAATTCATTATTTGAATGCAGAGTAGCAGTAGTAGGCAAATAGCAGTGAGCCGGACATTGCCTGGCTGATGTCATGTTATCTTTTGAGATAGCTTGGAAGAGAAACTGCAGAGCTCTTCAGCAGCTGGTGAGGACATCTGACATCACTTCAGAGTACTATAGCTTTTCCTTCCATTGTAAGACTTTGAAAATTCTGTCAGGCCTATTGTCTTCACAGGCTTTTCATCTGTGCTGGGAGCCCTCAGGAAAAACCTGGAAATTAGGTCAGGGAAATGTCTGCCTCGCACACTGAAATTAAAAAATAAATTGAGGGTTTATGTTACTCTTCAGAGCTCACTTTGAAAAACAAGCAAAAATTGACCGTTTGAAAAACAGTGACAGGCTTCTCAGAACTCTTCAGAAGCAAACAAGCAGTGAGAGCGGCCGTGGCAGTAAATTAGTCATAATTATTACTAGGCTAAGAGATGATGAAAAGGTGTTACTGAGGAACGTGCTATCCTGATCATCTAGAGGATGTTGTGTAGGTTTCATTCCCAAAACTGAAGAAGTTTTGGAGGTGGACCACTGTGAACAGTTCTGACTTTAAGTTTCTCTGAAATGAAGCATTTCACATCAGTCCACTCTGATTGACATTGGTTCACATCTTACCCATTTAATTTATACAGAAATTTTGAAAAATCATTTGAAATCCCCTTTAACCAACATACCTATTGACCATCTTTATCTAGATGACCGTATTTGCTAGCAGTTATTTTAACGTGCTGTCTAATGATAAATAATGATACAGAGTTATGTTCATATCAGTTAGTAAAAGCGGCACTATGTAATATTTTTTGTGACTGAAAGAAGTAGCATTGCTGAGTATGAAGAAAAAAAAAAACACTAAAATATGGAGTGTACCGCTGCGCCCTGTAAAGCCTGAAATTATCTCTTAAAAGTCAGAAGTACCAGGTTGGAATTGGCAGGAATTTTTGGACCACGTCAAACGTCTTTACATGTTAATGTCACACACAGGCTCAAAAAAGAAGGTCTGACTCGATGTTTAGGTCTCAAATGCAAACTCAGCATTACACTGATGAAATAGTAGATAATTCCCTTTCATCCTTGGAAGACACGTCCTTCACCAAGTTCTTTTCGAATACTCTTTCAGCATACTCGACCCCGCTTGTGGGGGTCCGAAGAACAACCAATGTCCTTTGGCATGTTGTGTGCAATTACATATTCTACCAGAGAGGTCTCCAAATCCCCAAATCCTACATAGTGTTGCTTTAAAGAGGTTGGCTTTTCTTAGCTGCTGACAGTTGAGCTTTACTGTATAGCTCTCACAATTGCAATGAAAAACATTTTGTGCAGAGATAAATATCAGTGCACTCTTACATGCAGTCATTTGTACTGTTTTATTCAAGTTTGCAAAGAGACTTAATATACAAGTCGATTAGCTCTCTGCATGTAATGTTGCCCCGAATGGCTTGTGTTAGCTTTACCTTTAACTCTGTTAGCTTATCTGAAGGGTTAACATTAGTTTCTTTATTAGGCAAGAAAACTTGATAAACTTGAAAAAAGTTTATGGCTAAAAGATTTCCCTGATTTAATTCAATTAAACATAGTTTCCAGAGTTCAATTTTTGTTATAACTTGGCCTGTATTCATATTTTATCAGTTCTCTATGTTCAGTATGGCCTTACTGAACATCATGTAAAGTCAGTTTATTTTTGAATAATTAAAACAAGTGAATCAGTTCAGAAAAGGTAACTTTATTTGGGTCATCAGTGCATTCATGTTTTTCTTTTTTTCCCGAGCAGACGAATGGAACTTGCATGTGAAAAGCTATATTTTCACTAGTATGGTCACAGATTTCTTTCATTGTCATCCTGAGATGTTTATATTTAGTGAAAATTCTGACAAATTCAGAGTTAATATACCCTGTTGTCCATCTTAAACTCATTTAAGGTGTTTATTCCCCTTAGTAAACTTGCACTGTTTAGATTTCCCCTTGAACAACTTTTCCTCATAGTTCAAATAAATATTAACTGAGTCTGCTTTAACTGTGTCTGAATATGGTTCAAAAAAGGTTTGAAGCAGGTTTATTTTGCTAATCCCTCTAATCCCTAATTTGTTTCCATAACTTGTCAGTGTAGCTAGGAGAACCTGGCAGAAGATAACCATTCATCTAACAGGAGCTAACAGGAGTTGTACGCTGTAAAAATTAGTTGCATTTACAGCCTTCAGTCCGAGCTCCTGATACAGACTGTTCTTGCTGTTAGATGGAGATGTTCTGAATGTGGAGTCTAGGCTCAGAAGAGCATTCCCCCCAATATGCCCATATTTGGTGAAACTGCTACAAGGGCTATTGGTGACGTTGCCATAGTCTGAGAACATTAGCCCCCTAAAACCACATGGAAATGTAAAATATGCTCTGAGATTTTCATTCCACTGAGGGCCTTACCACAATACCTATTTCTGTAACCAGACCCTGTGTTTAGAACGGCCAAATCAAATCATCTGGAGAAGACAGAGGGGCAGAGGGTCAGCACTGTGCTAGTTTTAAACTCCTCTCTGATGTAACAGATGTTCCAGAGTCAGCGAGAACACTTCATTTGCTTCTGAGAATGATGGACTGGCAGGCACTGAATGCCAGGTGTTGAATTAAATGCTGCTGTTTTATTACCGTGACATATTTCAGAGGTGTATTAGAGGGAGAGATTTGTAGTGAAGCTTAAACAATTTTTTTCTCTTGCTTTTCAAAGTTGGTGCATTTTGATTTGGTATACAGCAAGTCGAGGCACATATGCGCTGTAAAATGTGTGTCTACCAAGCGTTGTGGTTTCTGACATGCCTAAGTATTTTCCTGTGCAGTAAAGCCCAAACAGCTTGAATAAGCTTGTGATTTTCCTTGATAGATTCTCTTTAGGGCTGTTTTTGTTGAATAAGCTAACTTCCCACATTTTTAATTTAACCAGTAAGATGAGTAAGAGAAGATAATGTTGTTTTTATTGAGGTGAGATGGTAAACCTCTTAAAATCCAGGGCTTATTACATTTAAGGATTGTTATTCTGTAACTAAAAGGACTACAGTGCAAATGGGCTGAGTTATTTGCAAGTTATAAAAGTTTGAAAGTTTGGATGCATTGGTAAATCCTGGCCATTTAAGGGATTAAAGGGGAAAATGGGTTTACACCCCAGACCATACGGTTCACATATGGAAACTAAGCTGCAAAAAAAGCCTGCTTTGAGTTTTTAGTTTTTTGTGATGTCAAGAAAAATAAACACATTTACATGTATCTTTTTGAATGAGGCAAAACAATACAGGGCAGCCTGACAGTAAGTAAAGTTATTAATTTTTCAGGAGATGTTTCTAAGGAGATTAGATGTAAGACGATCCACTTGGAATAAAAGGAAGGTGTGGGTGGGGGAAATAAGTGAAAAACAGGACCAAAACTAGAGTTCAAAAAATTGTTAAATGATAGAGAAAATGGAACCACTAACAACTGTGCAAGACGTGGTAGACCACCAAAACTGTCACAATAAGATAAACTACTTAAAGCTTTTATCTTTGAAAGAGAGGAGAAAATCAAGCTCCACTTTTGCTTCAAATTTGAAAAAAATCCACTGATTTTTCTGTTTGTCTTTACATTGAGAGAAAACTCAGCGTTATGGGTCTGAAAAGATGTGTAGTTGTCAGGAGAACATTACAGAGGAAAGGAAATTGACACAAAATAAGAAAATTTGGAAATGAAACAAAGGAGCTGCTGGTGTTCTCAAAACAATGGACTGTCCACCCCATAGTCCAGACCTCAGTATGACGGAATGTGTATTGTGACCACTTGTATCATGAGAAGCAGAAAATGCAGCCAACTTCTAAGACTGAACTTTGCAAGTGTGGAGAAATATTCTTGCAGATTTCTTTGAAAAACTGAAAGCAAGTCTTTAAAAACAATGGAAGCTGTAGGTGGACGCACAAAATATTAAAAAAAAATATATTTAGTTGTTGAGGCTTCTGTGTATATTTTTGTCAAATACATTTTCAGCTTTTTTTCCTGATGCTGAAAATTAAATAACTAGCACTGAATGCCTGTTTTTTGGGAAATTAAACAAATGTGTGGTCTCTGACTTTTGCACAGCTCTATATTGTTTTTTCCACAGTTTGTGTCAGTGAGAATGTTTTCTTTTTCCATAATAACACTTCTAAAAATAATCACCTAGTAAAAAAAAGCGCCTGAGACAATGGAAGGATATGGTATTTGATCCCGTGTTTTGGAATCTGCCTTGAGATAATGTAAAACGTATGAATGGCAGACTTGGCAGACTTTACTCTCTTTGTGTTGGTGCCAAAATCAGACATTTCTTATTCTGACAGTATAGCTATGCTTTAGCCTGTTTACAGTAACACTTCTTTTCGTACTTCAGCACATTATTTGTTCTTTCTTTCTTCCACTGCCATTAATGTATTCATAGCTTCATATTTACTTCTCTAATCTAAAAGCTGCTTAAAGATTTGAACTTTGTCACACATACATTACATTCAGTGCAACACTGTAGGTTTGAGCTCCTAATGCTTCATAGTGCTCAGTATCTCTCATGATATTTGATAATACGACATCTCTCACCTCCACCGTTCTGTGCTCTTGGAGCTTTGTGCAGTGACGTGGTATTCTTTATTATACACTCTTGTGTCTCTTCCACTGCTGGTGTCTCATTACCCAGATTTTTCCCCCAGAAGCACTCTGTGTAGTGAAACAGAAACAGTGCTGCAGTTTGTAACTGTGACACACTGTAATTGCCATATTTGGCAGTCCCTGAGGTTTGCTGGCAGCTTTTAATAAAGCAGGATCACTTAAAATGGCCATAAAAGGAGCCAGGAAAAGACAGCACCTGTTTTACATCTAGAGGCCGCAGAATGTCTGATAACAGCTCAGGCAGAAATTGCAAGATGGTCCACCATGAATCTGAGGCAAAGAAAGATCCAGTGTCGGTGTATGGGTGCAGGCCAGTGTGCTGTTTGTGGGACCTAGCTGAGAGTTCTTGACTGTGTTGTGATGTTTCTCCTTCTTTGGAAGGAGTTAACAGATTTGTGCGCCACATGATTAAGATTTATTTTACACGTTCTGGTCTAATGTTCTAAGTTGTTCTGGAACCCTGTTTGTTAGTTCTTCTTCTGCTTCTTATTCTTCTGATTTTGATTCTCTGAATTTGAAATACTAAATTTGAAGGGAGGGTGCTGTCTACACAACTGGTGGTGGATGTGGCTACAGCAGACAATGACAGTTGTAAATCATGAACCTTTGGCCAGAAACACTTGAAATTGAATATGCCTGTGCAGCATTATCATTTAAGGATCAGAGTTGGGGTAGTTCTCCATAAGACAGTAACCCAAAACAAATTACTATTGACTTCTCTCAACCTGTAATGGGGAAACTGATGACTTCCTGCAAAAAGTAATTTCCATACTCATTACTTTACTTCCAAGTTACTCTATAAAACCCAGACAAGTCTTTACAAACTGTACAAAAGGAAAACTCAGTAGTCCTTTTCAGTGATTTATTTAGAAAGAGACAATCACCGTAAACATAATTTAAAAAGCTTGTCCTTCCTTTAAACAAGACCCAACCAGTTATGTTGAATAAAATCATGAACGGCTGGTGCTGTTTGAAAACCAGGAAACTGGCATCTAGAAAAGGTCTAAAAACAGCTGAACAAACAAATGAAATCTTTATATATACATTATAAAGCTTACAGACCTGTTGCTGAATGAAAATTGAGTGTGGTCTGTCTGTAAGGTTAGGTGTCTCGTCTTCAGGACAGGGTCTTTATCCCTCTGTTTCATATTAGCAAGATTAGATGCTTCAGTAGGATGAGTTTACTCTGCTTCTCATGCTTGTGCTGCGCTGCTCGTATTCACAATCAAAGTCATGCATTCAGATGTCGCAGGTAGCACGAACATACAAAAATTACATACAAGCATAGGCACGGAAAATCTGTAGAGGGAAAGTTTATGACTTAAATGTGTTGCTTATAATACTGTTTTCTTAGAGACCTGAGTAACCAAGTAAAAAAACTTTATTAGGTCAATAACTAATGTGATTACAAGAATATAAACTAATGTGTTACGTTAAAAAAGTAATCCAAAGAATTTAACGAACAGAAAGCTGTTTAACTGAAGGAACAGTTAGTAAATGTACTTCTTTTGGAACAGTACCATACCCCACATGCTTTTTATCCCTTTGTTATGATGTCGACCCTCATCATAGCTCAAACTTTTCAGGTGTTTTCTGTCAAATCAGAAGCCAGAATTCTAGAAAGACACTTTGGCTACTTTTACACAGCAGGTAAAAGTGGCCCAAATCTGATTTTCTCACCAAATCCGATTTTTTTTTTGTTAAGCTGTTCACATTATCTTTTAAATGTAATCTGTGTGCGACATTAGTTTCATCTTCGCCAGTATCACAGGAGCGATTCTAAAGTTCCAGTGGTTAACAGCTGGGCTCATCACCCACAGTGTGTTTGAGTTCACCGTAAAAAGGGCACGTTATTCGGCTACGGCCACTTCTTTTGTTTGTGTCCTCTTTTTTTTGTTGTTGTTTTTTTACTTTTTTTTGACGCTGCAGCCTTGTTCTCCTCTGACCATGTTCGGCCGTTTAGTTTGAAACCTCTTCAACCACAGAGCGGTTGTGATAAGCCTCTTCTAATTTTTGGTACAGAAACATAAACCTAAATGTTTGAGTCTCAGCAGCGTGAAATTATGACAAATGTCGAGTTGGACTGACATTGGACTGACGTCCGATCTGGCTGTTCAGACTGAGACGCATTGCTGCAGATCGGATACGTATCAGATTTCAGTACCACATATGAAAGCGTCTCAAATCAGAATTGAAAATGTCAGATTTAATGCGTTTTTGCTGTTCACACTGCCACACAGATGACACATCTGTGTCACATACAGAGAAAAAGATCGGATTTGGGCCACTTTTACCTGCTGTGTAAACGTAGCCTTTGAGTCTGAAGTATACTCTAAGTGTTAAATAATAACTTTTTTGTGTGAACAAAACATCTGCAGCTGTTTTTCCATCTTAATTGAAAAAGAATTCAAAATTAAACATTGCTCTGAAAGTTTTCAGATGAAGGTGCCCAACTTTTGATGGGCAGTGCAGTTGTGATATAGAGCTTTGACCTTGATGATTGACACTAATATAATTACATATATTACCCACGCTCTCCACTTGCAAAAGAAGCAGAGGATTTGCTTCTCTTGGCTGCTGCCTCTCCTGAAAATTTCCCTAGTTGCCATAGCAATTTTTTTTGATAACCATGTAATGACCTTGCAGTACAAACAGATAAGCTGGGCCTTTCAATGAAGTCACCATGAGTAGAACACTTTGAGTCTTCTTGAGTCTTTGTAATCGTACATTCCTGAGTGTTACTGATGCAGAGCTGGTGCAAAGCTTTAGTGTGTGAATTATATTTATATTATCAACAGCCCGAATTTTTTTCATGCCACTTTTTCACAACATTCACAGTGATTGCATTGAAAGAATTGCAGTCTCATACACTGAGTGGAAACAAGTGTATTTGTGTTATTTAATATACATCCAATGCATCCAATATTCACTTAGAATTATATATTTAATGAACAAAATCGGTAGGGGATTAATATTCAAACACTGTATTAAATATAAATATACTTATATGTAAAGGTTAAAATAAATATATCAATGTTCTGCATATTAATGCTGCAAAAACAAAAATGTTCTTGTGCGTATTTCACCTGGTGTCATCATAAAAGACATTGCCATTGGTTGGGAAGTTTTTATGCAACACATAGCAATTGTGGTGAAGGTGAAGGACCTTCCTAAAGTTTTCAGGGATAACATTATTTAAACAGTAATCGAAAGGGAAAAAGCCTCAGTACCCTAGTAAAGAGCTTAAACATCCCTGCCAGTATGATTGGTTCATGAAACCTAATCTAATGAACCTGATGAAAATGAATCATCCATGGACAGGTGCGCCATACAAGATTTCTCTCAGACTACCAATAAGGAAGTAAAAGAGAAGCCAGTAGTCACTTTAAAAGAGTTGCAGGATGACCTGAAAATAGCAAGAACAACATTAGCACAGAGAACAGTGAGCTATGAACTGCACTGCAGTCATCTCTGTTCCTACACCCCACAACAAATCAGAACTGTTTTGGAACAGGGTACTCTTGTCAGATGAAACAAAAATGGAACCCTTTGGAAATAATTCAGTTCATCATGTTTGGAGAAAGAAGGGTTGCATTTATGATCCCAAGAACACTGTATCCACAGTGAAGTGCAGTGGTGGGAGCAACATGATATGGGGCTGCATCTGTGCAGATGGTACTGGGGCATTACACGTCATCAAAGAAAACATTAATGTAGCGATGAACCAGGAGATATTAGAGAAGAATTTAATTTTATTGGCCAAGAAATGGTGTTTTAGTAAGATAACAACCCCGAACACACAACCACAATAACTCAAAACTTATTTCTAAAAAAAGAGGAGGTGTTTGCACTGCCTAGGCCATTTCCTGACTTGAATCCCTTTGGAAATTCATAGAAGATTTTGAAATTGTCCGACGGAGGGACCCTGTTTATCTTAGGGAACTGAGAATGGTTTGCCAAGAGGAATGGGCCAAAACTGATCCACAATTCTTCAAAAAGCTAACTGCTTCTTACCACAGACTTCTCAAAGCTGTAATTGCCAACAAGAACTTAAGTCCTAATGTTATTGATCTTAATATTTTTCCCTTATCAATTTTGTTTTTTCTTTATTTGTGCTTATTAATACATACCTTTCGTTCATTTTTAGAAGTATGATTTATAAGTTGGAAGACGTTACATGTGTAAATTTGAAGTAGATACAGGCACTGGGAGTATATAAAGTGCTTGGTTTTCCTCTCTCTATAACCAATTCATTACAGCAATGAAATCTATTGATAGTAACAGTTTGTTCTTGTCTGACCGAACTGTAAATACTATTATTTTACTGCTATACGGATGTTTCCTTTTTGAAATGGACCTTTGGATTTACTGAAAGCAAATTTCTATCTGGTTCCCCTCACAGCCAAGCACACTACCACAAGGAACTGTCAACATGAACCTGTGCACAGATGTAATTGATGCTGAACCTAAAACCGGCCAGAAGAATGCATTGTGCATCATTACTCCTGATCAGGAGTACTACATCCGGGGAGACAACAAAGAAATTATCAATGGGTATGTGTCAGTTGATGTCCCACTACTTGCTGGCTTTTATTTGTACCAAGCTTGGCTGGAATGCAAGAATGTAGAACCTGAATGGAGCTTCTTTGTTGGTGACTGTTTGTCTTATAACAGGTGGAGTGAACAGCTAGTTGTTTATCCAAGGACCAACAAGCAGAATCAAAAGAAGAAGCGCAAGGTGGAGCCAACAACTTCTCAGGTAATTTCTGTGGGCATTTAGTTCAGTTAGAACTACAGCTGAACACCATATGCTTCACTTGGCACTTAACTGCAGATCTGTTATTTATGATTTCAGTAGTGGATCACAAACAGAGCGTATTTACCAACATGCTAAGGTAAATATTTCTTTCAGGAGCCTGGTCCAGCTAAGGTAGCTGTGACTGGTTCAGGCATCCCTGAGGCAGAGAAGGTTCCAGACGCTAGCTCTATCATATGGCAGGAGGAGCTGCACAACAGAGAAGCGGACGTGTCGCAGGTGTGGTCCTCCTCAGAAATGGTGCCGCAGGGATCACAGTTGCCCTCTGCAGGTATGGAGGATCTTTTAGAATAGAATGTTATTGTGTGACTGTAACACTGTTTGACTAGTTAAATAAGTCACATTCAGTGGCATGGGCGCAAATGCCAATGTTACCAGTAACATTTTTGGGAAGGAGTATAATTTAATCTAAACCAAACACAAAATATTAGGGATCCTCTAATATTACCAGAATTGGAATCGCTAGCTAAAACATGCAATTGGCAATTTATTATTTTTAATTTGGGCAGTCAATTTTGTAATTGTATAATGTAAATAATGTACTGTATTTGAAAGCTGCTACTGCTGCATCTGTACCAAAATGTTTTAGCTTAATTATGTTTGATGCAAAACGGGCAGTTTCCTCTTACTTTTGATGTAGCACCTTATTTAATTAATGTTATTAAAATAGGCAATTGATTTTTCATTTATGAATTCAAAGTGCAAATCTGAGCCATAAAATAACAAATAATATTATATCCAGTGTGACTTTGGCTAATGGAACGTACTGGAAATGTGCTACAGATGTGTTTCGTATGTTTATTTAGCCCAAATAGCATAAACTTCAGGGGAGCCCTCTCTTATCCGCGGCCTGTGTGGCTGCAGGTTATCATATAACCAACTAATCAGTTGCTTAAAGATCAGGACCAGTGTTTTATGCATGTGGAATCAGGTGAGCTCCTGTTTAGCTGGAATGAAAACCTGCAGCCACACTGACTTTTTGCCGATTATGCCTGATTTAAACTCTGTGTAGTTATTAATCTTAACACTTATTATTCCTTTATTAACTACAATGAATTGTTTGGTAACTACTGTGAAATTAATACATGCCATGCTGTTGTGAGAGTGAGCGACTTTAAGGAGTTAAAGAATTAAAAAGCTGCAGTCATTCAAAGTGTTTAACATCTCTCTTTCTCTCTCTGTCTGTCTGTCTGTCTCTCTCTCTCTCTCTCTCTCTCTCTCTCTCTCTCTCTCTCGCTCTCTCTCTTTCTCTCTTTCTCTCCCCATCCCCCCTTAGCTGAGGAAGCGTCAGTGAGCCGAGGTTCAGACCAGGGCTCGGTGAACGGAGACGAGGTGGACCGGAGCGGGTTCTCCTTTCCCCCGTCTGTCTCCCAACCACCCCAAGACCTCTTGTCCCCCACAGGCAGCTCATCCAGCCGCCACAGTATGGAGTTGGGAGGGATCCCTCGCTGCCTCTCCCCCGCACCCAGCGACCCCTTCCCCTCAGGCAGCAGCCTGCTGTCCAATGGCTCACACATCAGCGGCTCCATGAGCTCCCTGGACTCAGACGCCAGCGGTAGTACTGTCACCAGCACTGAGAGCCACCCAACCGAGCCCCTGGGCCGCGCGCTCCGGGGCCTCCATGACCCCCCTTACTCACGCCGCCTCGAAGGGGAGGCTCGCAAGGCTGAGAAACGCAGCCGCCTCCGGAGCCCCGAGAGGCAGAACAGAGAGCCTCTCTTCAGCCCAGAGAGGAGGTGAGCTCAGCCAATGCTCCTTTCACTTCAGCGCCTGCAGCTACTTTTCCTTTTAAAGGCATACCGCGTTCTGGGCCTGTCGTGCTCCTTCTCCAGCCCCTTTTACACACTGCAGGCAGAACTAGGAGATGTGTGAGGGTACCAACAGAGGAGATAAAACCACACTTACCTTATTAGGCCAGAGAAACACGTAAGGTCTACTTGCAGAAAAGGCTAGTTGTGCATGCTTTTGCCATGGAATAAGGGTCAGTACAAGAAGTAGTTCCCCACCCTCAGTTCCCAGTTTCTTCATTGCTTATGTTAGAAGTAAACACATTTCCAATAAACAGTTCTCGTGCTCTCGACTAGAGGCCTTATTTCTGGGATTCTCCTCTCCCACAGCTCAGAGGTCAAAAGCCTTGGAGAAGAGCATTTCAAATAAAGATGCTGACATGCTTCTCTTTTCGTTAGGACACCGAGAACATTCCTGTTCCCTCTCTCATGACAGTTACTCACCGAGGCAAGAGAGTTAAATAACTCAGAACTTGTCCAGTGTAGAGAGACGGCTTCCATTTTGTTTAATTTGGGTTTATGGGAACTGTGCCACTCTGTACCCAGCAGCCAATGAGGCTGAGAGCAGTCATGTGACATAAATACCTCACTCACTAGCTCTCTTGTTTCCTTTTAAGGAGGATGAACACCACTCTCCATTCCCCAAATAAGGTCAAAATTCAAAATGAGCAATTTAATTTTTCTGCATGCTGCTTTCTAAACCAGATTCCTTTCTTTAAGACTAAAGAGAGAAAACTGTCATTTTTTTTAGACCAAAGTTAGCATCTGCACTTTTTAGAAGCTTTGTAAAAAATGTGAAATTATATCAGTTTTCAGGTTTATTTGTAACTCCTTTGTAGTTGTTTAGATAAAGTGTGATGCTTAACTGTAGAAATGGCAATGATGACAGAAGATGAGATTGAATAGCACTGAGTGTTTACAGCAATAGCAGACCAGTTCACAGTTCTGTCTAACTGTAAATATATTTTGGTTCCTCATAACAGGAAATTTGATAGGAATGCAGGATTTACAGTACTATGCAAAAGTCAGAGACCACGTTTCCAGTTAAGACAGCCATTAAGTACAAGTTATTTATTTTTCAGGATGTATTTCTGAGGAGATTAGACATACGATAATCCACTTGCACAAGAAAAGGTAAACTCAAAGGAAAATAAGTCAATAACAAGACTGGAGTTCAAAAAATGATTAAAAGATGTAGAGAAACAGGGTACCCCTAACAACAACCATGCAAGACCTGGTGGACCACCAAAACTGTCACCATCAGGTAAACAGTACTTAAAGTTTTCATCTTTGAGAGAGAGGAGAAAATCAAGCTTCACTTTTACTGCAGATCTGAAAAAAATCTACAGGTTCTTTTGTCCATCCTTCCGCTGTGAGAAGCCAGTTTAGTGCTACAAGTCTGAAAGGATACATAGCTGTCAAAAGGATGTTACTGAGAAAAGGAAATAGAAAAGAAACATATTGCAAATCAAACAAAGAAGCTGCTGTTGTTGTTAGATGGACTGTCCACCCCAGAGTCCAGACCTCAACATCACTGAATGTGTTTGGGATTAATTGGATCATGAGAAACAGAAAATGCAACCAACTTTTAAGACTGAACTTTGGAGGTGTGAAAAAATATCCCTTCGTATTTCTTTGAAAAATTAAAAGCAAGTCTTCTGAAAAGATTGGACGCTGTAATGAAGGCCTGTTGTTGAAACCTTGTATAATTTTCTGTTATGTTACGTGCTTTTCTTTCATGGTGCTGAAAAATTAATAACCTAATGACCATTTTGAGTGGAAATTCATTACGGGTGGTTTCTGACTTTTGCACAGTACTGTACCTCACTTTTTATGACACATTTTTGTGGGGTTTTTTAATAACTCATAATAAACTAATCAAATTTGATTGCATGGAATCCAACCTGAAGGAATACTGCTTGCCTCTTGGAAAAATGGCAGATTTAATTCTGCTCTGTTTTGCTTGCAGTGGCCGTTCAAATGTGATTGAAAAGTTAGAGGCGCTGGAGTTGGAGAACTCAGAGAGGATGGAGGTGGAGGAGACGGGCTGCAGTGAGACCCGACAGGGCCGCAGCGAAATGAGACGCTTCCACAGACAGGTAGAAAACACATAGTCACATCACTGTGGCCGGTTGCTAGGCCTGTTCTGCTACCACCATTCTGAGTGTTTGCACTGTGGCTTTGTTTTTCCATTATATTCTATTTTCACATTCTGTGGTCTTTTTTTGGACAAAATCTCTCTATTTGTTAAAAATTAAGTTGTTGAGTTACTGAAGGCCTTATCGTAATTCTTTTTTAAACCTAAGCATTTGGGCTATAGTGAGCAACATTCAACATAAACGTAGTTTGTTTAGATACTGGATGTGACTGTTTGTTACACAAAGATATGCACAAAAACCCAATGAAAAAGTGTACTGAGCCACTGAAAGTTTAGCCACAAATCTTCTGAAATGCCTGTCTTTTGTTTCCACTTAGACTGGTTCACTGCAAGGTTAGTGTTTACCCAGAACAATGAAAAAGATAGAGATTTTGATAAAGGCTCTCGTTCTTACAACATTTGTTTGTGATAATATCTTCCATGTGGTGTTTAGGTTTTTAACCTTTCCCTGAAATGGGGCCATTTGGTAAAAGTGTAGGTTTTGAGCATTCAGATATGTGAAATAACAACAACCAAAAGTGCAGCCCTAAGAAAGGCTTAGAGAGATGTTAAGGGCATTGTTTTTGTTTCTCTGCTTTAAGGCTATTCCAATGCTAAGATCTTCCAGCAGTGATCAAGGCTATGTACCTTAAAAGCCGCACATTCTTTATTTTTCTTTTTTCTTTTCTTCCTCAGGTCCATTTGTGTGACTTTATATACCTTTATGTAGGAACATTTTTAGCAACTTCTTTATATAGAAACATTGTAGCCTCTCTTTATCACTTAAATAAACTAGCTGTTTTGTTACTGTGCCTGTAAGACTGAGATGTAAAGCTGATCAGCTGCCTCTATTTTGCAGTGTGGACAATCCTTGTAACCCCACTCTGAATGGGTGGGCTAAACTGCTGTAGGCTGAAAGGGCAGATATAGTTCAAAACAGGCTCTTTTTCAAAGCAGTTTCCATATATGAACTATAGTAACAACAGGGGCTCAGCATATGAGTATCTTCTTCAGTCATGGTGGAAAAGCATCTCAGGTGGCTCCTCATGAAGCTGCTTGAGAGAATACCAGGAGCGTATAGAGTTCCCTTAATGCAAAGGAGAAGTAGTTGAATTTTTTTTATCACTCATTTGATCTCTGCATAATGCCTTATGTGTTATTTCACTGTTTTATGTCTTTTATTCTGAAATGTAGAAAATAGTAGAAAATTAAGGAAAACTCCTTTGACTGGTACTGTATAGTTTGGTAGTTCTTGATGTGGTTTAGTGGTTTGATAGTTAATAATAAATTGCACTTAAACAGCCTGTAAATTGGTTCTTTTTAAAATGATATGACTAAAACTTACCATGTTAAGTTAGCTTTGTTTTTTCATTTTTTGGGTTACACAAATTAATGACTTACATAAATCAATGCATCAGTAAAATTACCTATAGATTCATCAGTAACTAAAGAATAATTTATGATCTCAATAATCATGTCTCTTTTCATAATGTCTGCATGTTTCTGTGTTACTGTAGGAGCAGAAGCTTGACCCAGCACAAAGTGTGGACTTCCACCATTCCACCCTGCCACCACTGAGAAGAGCTAAGTCACTGGACCGCAGGACAACAGAGTCCGTCATGACAGTGAGTACTCACAGGGAGAGCAAGAGTCAGAATATTAGGCTGGTCTTTGAGAGGGGAATGCTGATATCACTGAACATTGTGTACTAAGGGTGTGAAGTGAACGGATTCGGAAAGAAAGCCGTCACAATGATTCTGTTGTTCTCTGAGGTTCGAAGGTCAGCGAGACCTCTGTTACCAAGGCATGTTTTCTAGGAAAAAAATGGGTTGCTGTTTTGGAACACTTCAGTTGTTGAGGAACAGAGTGACTCAGTGTAGAGTGAATGACAGGGTTTGAGGTTTTGCACTAGTGTTGTTACATCAGATAAGTGTTCATTGTTTAGATGCTGACATGCATCATTATGCAATCTATAATCTCAGTTATTTGTTTAGACATGGCTTAAACAGTTTGTGCTTCCCTTCTCAGTTATTCATTAATCTTTCATTTTCTATGAGAAAACTGTATAAATGCTCTGCATGCTGTGCAATCATTTCTGGTGGGAATTTTGCTGGTATCTCCACTGAGACTAATCCTGGTTGCCATCTTGTTTCTTTGTGGCATCTTTTTTGTTGTTGTGAGAACACAGACGTCCTAATCCTCCCGTGTGTGCTGCCGGGTGTAGCATACTCCCTTCTCCTACCCAGGTCATCTCTACATCCTCCCTGCATTCAGCTACACATTCCAATCCCTTCTGTTCGCCTTCATGTCTTTTTTCTCTTTCGCTCTGTCTGAGTGTTCTTAGTCATGAGTGGATGTGGGTGTGTATTTGTTTAATCGCATATAAGTGGTGATTCAAGTGCTCTGGTGGTGTGTGTCTGTATGTGTGTGTCTCTGTTCTAGGGCTGTCTTGACTAAAATTGATTACTCAATAAAAAAAAAAAAATCATTAATTAAATTGGCATTCTCAATGAAACAGCTTTGTGAGTAGTTTGCGGTTTGAGTGCTATACATGATATCCACAGGTCATAATCAAGCTGTGTTTAGCAGACTTAAAGGTGGCACTGTCTGCACACGAATCACACTTGCGAGCATCACTGAAAGGGAAAACCCACACCAGCAGGATATTATGAATGCACCTAAATTGATCATAATAATTTGAGCATAATGAACATAACATGTATGAGTAATTGGTTTGTCTGGCTATAAACTTGAAGCAGAACCGTAGTTCAGTAGTACCTTTGTTTTTGTTATTGTTAGCCGTGCAGCCTTTAACATGCTAACAAGGCAGCTAGCAGAGAAAAGCAATGAAGTTCAGGCAGTCATGTGTAGCAGATTGAGTAGTTTGTAACATAAAGCCCTGCTAATCGAAAGTTATGATTTTGAATGCATTTTAAAGTAGTTTATTGCTATAGCTTGTAAACAGCTTTAATCTAAAATAATAAAATATTAAGTATATATATATAAAATTTAAGTGCGTCAGGTCGCATTGATTTCTGCTGCTGAAGTCGATGCTGGTGTTCGCTCGACCCCTCACCCCTCCAAGTGAAGGCTCATTAAGCTCCCTTTATAAAGTAATAGATCAGCCCTTAGGATGGCACCGGGGCTATGCCTGAGGGGAAATGACGAGGCAGAGTAAATGATGAATGAGGGTTAGGCTTTGCTGAAGCATCCACTATAAAACTGCATCAAACAAAATGAAAAATGCCACTTGATTGTCTTTTACAAAATTAAAATGCTTCATATGTCCCATGTTTAAGCAGAGCTGTCGTAAGTAGTTAAAACCATGTGTTAACTTGATGCTAACATTAAAATCCCTAAAGAAAAGCTAGCAGAAATTACCATTATCGCAGCAGTGATATTCAGGCTATTTAAAAAGTGAAGATTTATGTATTTAAACGTTCTACATTAAAGTGAAGATTTCTACATGGAAATGATTTGCTTAAAGCAACATAAAATATTTCTCCAATTCTCAAAGTGGTATTAAAAAAGACTTTTAAGGCACTCACTTAAATATTGATATAGATCAATGAAAAAATTGATAGTGACAGCCCTAATATGTTCTGTCTCAATCTCTCAACACCCTGCATTTCCGGGCACAGTGCACAAATGCCTGTTGTGAGTTTTATGTCCACTGTGTGGATCACTTGAAAGGTTATTCACACTCAACAAACAGACTGTGCAGTAAAGATACTGAGAATTAGAAGCATGTGGTGTGTTTTTCTGCCCTTTTGCCATCATGGTTGAAATCTTTTGACTTTGAAGCTGTTCACAGGTCTTAAAATGCCTTTATTCTATTGGGCAAGGATATAAAGGAATTAAGGGGAACGGTTTGTGTTGGTCAATGTTGTCTTTGTTGAAATTTCTGAACCTGTGGAGGGCTCTCTTTACTGAGGTTTTCTTTCAGATATCTACACCAGTAAGTAAATGCTGATAAAACATGCAGAGTGCAGGTATATGCAGTAGAAGGTTCACCAGATGTTTGTTCAACTCGTTCTGCATTTCTGCATGTTGTATTGTGTGACCTCACTAAAAGACTGCCTGGATCACTCTTCATGGTGGTGTTGATGTGCATGACGACCCTTTTGTTTTCTGCTTACAGCCGGATTTGCTGAACTTCAAGAAAGGTTGGATGGTGAAACTTGATGAACAAGGACAGGTAGGTCACCATTCAAGGCATTTTGTTCCCAGTTTACCTAGATTAGTAAACTGCTTATTAAATATGTTTGTGGCTTTTAGCCTTAACTGTGAATATTAAACGTTAACAGTGGATATTAAACATGCACCGTAACATTGTCATGGGCCCTGTGAGAAGTTTCTACATGCTGTGATAAAAGGTTAGGTAATTGTCGTGATTTAAAAACAAGTATGATTACAAAAGTTTACAGTAGACTACTTAAGCACCTGGAGAATACCTTTTAAAAAAGAGCAGTTTGTTCTTTCCTTCATTCCTTCTTTTGTTTGTTCTTTATTACGTTCTCTCCCGTATTCTTAGTACATAAATAAATACATAATAATTATTACAATGTTTATGATTTGACAAAGTTTCTACTCATGAGATTGAATAAAATATGAAAAGTTTATCTGCAACAGTTTTCAGCTTTTGCCAAACCTGTGACATGCCCATGCCCTGGTACTTGTGCCTGTTCATCTAGTGCTAGTGCAGGGCTAATCTGTGTACTAACAAATGTACTTTGGACTTAAAGGCTTTCATTTCTTGTTGTGAAAAATTGTCTTTCCCTGGATGTGCATTCTTCAAAGTTGCCTCCTCAAATGCATGAATGCGTCATTCTCAAAGGGCTGAACGGTGCTTTGAAAGGGCACGGTTAGACTTTGATAGCCATGCTTCAATGGGTGAAAGTTGAAAGGTTATGGTCCCTCTGCTCTTTTTTATGATCTTTAAACGTGGGCTAAATGTCTTGAAAAGCCTGCGCAGACCTCGAATAGAGACATTCAGAGTAAGCAGGCTGAGTGTAAACAGCAACTTGATGTCGATTCAGTAAATGTTTATCGGCTTTTTTTTTTTCCAGTGGAAGAAGTATTGGTTTGTACTGACAGACCACAGTCTGCGATATTACAAGGATTCAATTGCTGAAGAGGTATTTTTTTTTTCCATACAGCTTGCCTTTTTACTGTAAGTGATCGACCATCGTCTCTTGTCCTGCACTGCCATTTGTGTGTATGCCATCACGTTGCATATGCTTTTCCTTCATTTGTGGTTTACAGCTCTAAATGACATCTTTTCTACTAACAGGCATCTGATCTCGATGGGGAAATTGACCTCAGTACCTGCTATAATGTAACGGAATATCAAGCCCAGCGAAACTACGGCTTCCAGATTCATGTAAGTTTGTCTCATATTGCTTTTTTTTTTAAGGATAAAGCTCCAAACTTTTGTTACAAATAAGCACTGAACATAATTGACTTTTGTGACTATTAGGCTTAGACATGCTTAAAGGAGAATACCAGTCTAAGACTGGAGTTTTATATCAGACTCGCGTCTACCATCACCAGCTAGCAGGGAAAAAAATCAAGCTGCCCGTCCCAATAAACCCACCCCAAAGCAACTGTAGTTTTTTAAAAGTTCCTCCCACCTTCAAAATGCATCAGGAGGTTATCCTAGTTTTTAAACCAGAAAATATTACTCTAGACACTACTGAAACACTGCTGTAGGTGGTGAGTAGGTATTTCTACAAGAGATGAACTAGTGTCCCTTTAATATGCATCCTTTTTTTTTTTTTTGTCGTGTTGCCCATGCCTATTTTACCTCCACTGGAAACCACAAAGTATAGCCTAATTCAATTTCTAAGCTGTTTAAGCTGTGTATTATGTAAAGAATTATTATACAAACTGAATTTCAAAAATAAAACATTACATGCAGTTTTGAATGGGTTTTTATTTATTTTTGTGTTTGAGAACACAATTTTTAGACATTTTCAGTATTTTCAGCTTTGTCAATGAGACATTCATCCAAGGTACTATATAAATTCCTATTATTGTCATTCCTCTTCAGACCCAGGAGGGAGTGCACACCCTCTCTGCCATGACAGCAGGAATACGACGCAACTGGATTCAGGCTGTCATGAAAAATGTTCGACCCTCCACTGCCCCAGATGTTGCTAGGTCCGTATTACTGTCTGATTAATTTGCTGACGGGGATGTTGTTTTCCACTTATTTGTAACTCAATAGAGCAAACAATTTCCAGAAACTAAAGTGTGTGTGTGTGTATGTATGTATGTATGTGTGTGTATGTATGTGTTGGACAGCCTGACGGATGACCATGGTTCTTGTGGCCCTTTTGAGAGTCTTGCTCGGCCCGACATCACTCAGGACTCTCCATCCTCGGAGACCTCCTCTGTGGAGCGGGAGCCCAAGAAGAGTCGTGCCCGAGAAAGACGGCGTGAAGGTCGCTCCAAAACATTCGACTGGGCTGAGTTCCGCCCCATAGCCCAGGCCCTGGCCCAGCAGCGAATTCATGAGGCCGACGCTCTTCAGGCTCAGCTAGCCGACCCTGAACGCAGTAAGAGGAGGGAGGAGAGACGGAGACGGTATGAGAGCGTGACTGGGAGCTCATCTCTTGATCCTGCTGCTGACAATAGCAAGATGGACTTTGAGAGTGTAGGTGTGGGTCTGGGGACTGTGTCTCCGCCGTCCCCGGACCGGCAGCAAAAAGTGGAGGATGAGATTGAGCAGCGCTGGCAGCAGGTGGAGAAGACCCCCATTAGGGAGGAGCGGAGGGTGCCCCTGTCCACAGCACTGCAGACCAGAGAGACGGCTGAACTTGAAAAGCTACTAGAGAGCTACAAAAAGGGGGTGTGTTTCTGTGTTTCATTACAGATGAGGAAAATGTCATGAATTGCGATTCTCTTATTATTATAATGGGATGTTATAATTTTATACACTATATTTGTTTATTATTTATGTATTTATTTTTACCAGACATTTCTGATGAAAAATTTAATTGTACTCTCTCTAACTCAGATTACCTAAAGGCCCTTAGCCTGAAGGTCTTTTGCAAGGAAGGCTGGTTGAAAAAATGTAGGGAGAAAATGTCCTCTTTTTAATTTTTTTTTGTTTTTAATTTTAACTACATATCACTAATTTAAGCACATCTTAATCAGTGTTTATTAAAACTTCATTTGTCATCACAAACCACAACTGCTACTACTACTAGTAATAACAATAGTAATAATAACAGAAATAGTAATTATAATTATTATTAGTAGTATAAATACATAGTGTAAAATATATATATATATATCTAGTTTTCAATTAAATCAAGTAAACATGCAGGACTCTTATTATACTGGACTCATTATTTTTAGTGGATTAATTTAATAGTTCCATTTAATTTTTTAATTCTAATACACTGTTTATGCAGCATTTATGTAATAATAATATGTAATAATAAGCATAAATTGTAAATATGTGTATGAAGCTGTCTCCTGTCTGTGGGTTGGATAATTTGAGACCCCAGGGCTAGATTGTATACAATTTGACATAAAGCACACAAAAATGTAATAAAAGTTCATTTATTTTTTATTTTTTAGTTTAAAGTTATTATATAGTGAACCCTAGTAGACCTACAGATGGAAGTTAAACTAATAAATATGAGAAAAAAATCATGTAAACTGTAGAAATTAAGACGTGCTAGCTACCCAGAATTGAAATCTAATCAAATACTCAGGTCCCTCAGGGAAATCTGAAAATAAGAACTAGCCTAGGTTGAGTTACAGTCTTGAACTACTGAAGTCTAGGCACTTGCAGTCACTGTTGTCTTTTTTGTTTTCTACATTTGCAGGTAGAAGACCTGAAAACAGAATTAGAGACTTGCTACCATCAGCTGGCTGATTCAAACCAACACAAGTTGGATTTAGAGGACCAGCTCAAAGCTGCTGTAGCTCGAGAGCAGCAGATCCGCGCTGGGTACATCTCACCGGTAAGGCCACATATCACAGGCATTTTAAGATATTCATAAGGGTTTTATGCAGAGTGCCATTTTTTCCATTAAACAAACTTTGCATGTATCAGTTTGAGAAAAAAACAAAACTCCATCTTTATCATCACAATTACAAAGCTGCAAAAAATGCCTTGCATGTTCAGAGTCTCTTGCATGTAAATGAACCAATTCTTTCTCCTTTTTTGCTTCTGCCTTTACAACCTCTCTTGTTGTTTTAGATGTAATGACAATTTTAATGTAATTTGATGTTGCATGCTACATTATTCATTACATTGCCTCAAAATGATAGCAGTATATTGTGGCCTTTAATGTGTCCTCCAGATACATTCATGCTCACAGTTTCTAAAAGATTCCATAATGAATGATTCAGGTAAAGTTTGACATTTTTCTCCATATAAGCTTCCCCTACTTTTGAAGTTGAGTTTAGATATATGACAATGTTAAACCAAACGGAGATTCTACAACAAAATAAGCCTAAGTACTAAGACACAATTTAGCTTAATCAGCCAAGGCCAGAGCTCAGTTTTTTTTCCTTTACTTCCAACATTCTTTTAAATGTATAAGGAGGGTTGATATCTAAATTGTGCTGTGTTGTAAAATGCCTCTGCCACAAATACATGTAAATGATAACATATAAAGTGCTCGTTGAGGGTCAATCTATGTGAAATCACCAAAGCCATCACAGCTGTCTCAGATTTTCTTAATTAGTTCAGGAAGTAGTGTCATTGTGCCCATTAGATTTTTTTTTGCTAGTTTCTGATGTGTAAACACTTTAAAAAGTGGGCATAATGTTAATGTCTTGCCTTTATATCAGTGCAACAGAAAAAAGTTGCAAGCTTAGATAAGTCATAACTTTTTAACTTATTTAACTTATTTCAAGTTATTTTCATATTCTTTAGTTTAAGGTGCATTTACTAAACTACTAAAACAGAAGAAGAGGAGATGCACATTTGCCATTCTATAGCTTGCTAAAAATCTATGAAAAAAGTAGTTTTTGTCCACTAGAGCAAATATCTTTAATCATCCGAATTTTGATATTTTTTAATTTACTATATCCTTTACTAAAATAATAAAAATTTAAAACAAAAATATAAATTGCAGGCTTATTACATTCTATACAAACATAAAATTGCCTTCCAAAGACACTGTAATCAGAAACCTTTATTAATATAAGACCAATATCTAGTTTCCAAAAGTGTAAGTAATAATGTTAGTAGTAAACAACTGTACTGTTTGACAAATTCTTCATTGTAGAGAATGATGGCTAAAGTTGCAGTTTGAGTTACTTCAAAGCATTACAATGGCAAAATATGCATTTCTGTATTTTCTGTAATTTGGTGAGTACCTATTAAAGGGAAGAATACTCTTTGAATATTTCATGTATGTAGCATTAATGTTTCAGAAGAAATGGCTTATCAAATATTACACCTTTTTGTGTAGCACTAATTTTAACGCAACACCCAGTCATTAATACCTCTGTCATAGAAAATAATGAAAATGCAAGCCTAAAACAACGTACGTAAGTAGGCACAGTAACATTATTTACTGAAATTGTTAAGTAAATCTGAGATGGTCAGTTGAAAACTTATGATCTGGTGATTTAAGGCAGATTTACCCTTAAGTAAAAATATGCATGACCTTCATGTTCATGTTTAAGTAATCATTCGTCTGTCCATTTTAACCTTGTTCCTGAATGGTTTAACATGTTTTATGTATTATAGGCACATGCTTTATGGATGTATGGCTGTGTGTGTGTGTGTGCGTCTTGTCAGACAAGACTCCTAAAAACATATGCGATGTATCAAATTTTATTTCAGTAATAAATAGTAAAGTACTTTGGAATTTGGATTAAGTTTTTTTAATTCTATTCAATAGAAAAAAACTGCTAAGACTAAAATGTATTTTTACTTTTGACAGATGTAACTTTTGATTTTTGTAGATATATGATTTTTCCAACTGTATCTGGAGAAGTTTCAGCAGCTAGCAGATACTTGGTGATGCTTTTTTTTTATATTTAGTTTTACTCATGGGCACATTTTCATTTCCACCAGTTTACACTCTGATGTGTGTACAGGATGTATGAATAGGCATGGTTTGATCTTTCTGGAGTTGGAGAATTAGCATATATATATATACGTTATATATATATGTTACTACAATGCCACTGCTGTACATGTCTCATTACAGACTTTAAACTAGTTAACAAATAGTTTGTATATGTATCTGAAGGGTGGAATTATTTTATAGTGGAAATGAAAATTGTAATATCTGTGGTTGATTGTGGTTAAGATAGCCGCCTTTTAGTAAAATAAGGTTAAACTAGCCTCACGTAAAATGCACAGGTATTATGCTGCGAGTTGTTTTGTCATTTGCCATTTTAACTTACTTGAATTGTGCCCCGTGCACGTGAGTTACTGTGAAAATACAAATAATTAGATCAGACTCTGCTCACATTAGGGACCCAAAAAAACACTGGTTTGGGGCATCCCTGAGAATCAGTTTATTGTCCCATAGTTGGCATAAATGTTTTTGCCCACAACATATGGAAAGTTCAGAACAACATGCTTGTAGTAATGGTATGCACTCTGTTGCGAATTAAGCCACTAGAACTAATTTTGCATTACTTACTCCATGAAGTAACTCTAACCATTTAATGTGCATGCACTGTGATTTACTAACCATGGCCATTAAGCCTCTTTTCCAGCACTCTAATTTGCATCATTTAATTAACGACGCTGGATGTGTCCATTCTCGCTTTAACCTTAATGGCTGGACAAAGACATTTGTAATTGAATAGAATAAATTTACTTTACATCCTCAAAGAAATTATTGATGTGATCTACAAATTAAATGATCCTTAATCACCTCTGCTGAATGTTAACCAACTGTCTGGTCCCCTTTTCCAAGCTGGAGTCACCTTTGAGTCTTGAGACAAAGCCCCAGATGAAGAGGCCAGAACTGGTTAGTTCCCAAGCTCAGAGCTTAACAAAGAAGTACCAGGAAACCAAAGAGCTTCTACAGCTGCAAGAACTGAAAAAGCGCAACATGCAGGCACAGCTTGGCCTTTCTCTTTCACACCTGTCCACCAAGGAACCTTACTTTTCTGACACCAAAAAAATCACCTCAGAGATTCTTCCCTCTGAACCTATTGTAAAAACTGTCATTTTTGAACTTGTGGATAATGAGGGTAAGATCAGAGAGCTTGAGGACTTGATAGATAGTAGTAAGCCGTTGTCAGTTAAGGAGATGATCAAGTTGCTGCACTCTCACAGTGATTCAGTGCTGTCTGATTTTCCCATAGAAAAAAGTGAAGATGGTAGGTCTGGTGATATAACAAAGTGTCAGAAACTTTTGGAAAGTCTTAAAACCCAGCAGGAAATAGAGAATGAGACAATGAGGAAGAGTTTGGCCAAGGCTGGGGACAGCATTCGTAATTATGAGGCTCGTCTGATCACCATGGAGGACATGTTGGGGAGGGTCCAGAGACAGAAAATGGAAGATCTCAAAAACCCTTGTACATCTCCTTGTCAACGAGACGACTCTAGCCAAATGACAAACCGAGGTCTGTCCCAGAGGGTTGAGCTATTAACAAGTGAAAATGAAGCACTGAACCAACGCTACCAGGAAATTGTCAACCAGCTGAGAGAGGCAGACAGGGAAATAGACAGACTGAAAGCAGAGCTTCAAAGACTCCAAAGTGGGCACCAGTATCAGCTAGATAGAGAGAACCAGTCAGTGATAGAGCAAGAAGACAAAGATGTTATTGCTTTGAATTTCTATGAACAAGAACTCAACGACAAGTCTCAGAAGCTTCAGGAGGCCCTTGCTAAGTTGGAGGTGCTTGGTCACAGTTTAAAAGATACAGAGAAGAGGTTGCAACTCAAAGAAGCCACTCTGAAAGGTCTCGGGTTTCAGGCATCTGAAAATGAAGATGATGAATCACTTTTGGAGAAAGAGCAGCTCAGGCACCATATAGAGGTCATTGAGTCCAAGCTTTCTGAAAAGGAAAAGTTGCTTCAATCTGCTGATCAGACCTGCAGGGAACTGCAAGCACAGAATAAAGAACTTGAAAGTGAAAAACAAGAATCTGAAAGAACTTTTAACCAAGTACTTTTAGAGGCTAAAAAGGAGATTCAAAAGTTGCGAGAGAAAGCCAAAATAGAAGGGGAGTCAGACAATGAATGTAAAGTAGATAGTGATTGCCAAGAGGTAATGCAGAGTGATGAAGGTATGATTCAGGAAGTGATGGAAGGTTTCAAGAGGAGGTCTAATGCTCTTAACCAGGTGTTAAGTATGCTGATGACGGCCAGTGAAAATAAGAAGTATGATCCGTCCAGTTTTGGCATTGAAGAAGAAAGTGTGGGAAGGAATGATACAGGAATGGTAAAGGTGTTGTTTGAGTGTGAGATTTTAAGTAGAGTTTTAGATGGTGTTGAGAATAGTCAGTTTGGTGAAGGAGGTGAACAAGCATTGGCTGTTGTGAAAGATGTTGTAAAGCACATGCTAAAGGAAAATAAAATGCTTGTTTCAATGATGAAGCTGTCTGCAGAACAAAAGGACATCAAGACACCAGTAAATATGCAAAGCACTGAACATGGAAACATACTAACTGGTAAAGGTATAGTGGTAGATGATAAGCTTCGTGGTGTCATCATGAAAGAGCTTACTGAGGCAGTACAAAATAAAGCAACCCTGTTGAATCAGATTGCTTCGGTCATTAATGAGCCTGTAAATGAACTGCTCCAGTCCTTGGCTTTAACTCTCTCTAGCCATGTGTCTCCACAAGGACAGTGCTTTCATGAAGCCATATTAGATGTAACTCGCATATATCTTCTAATACGACAGAGAATGCAGCTGGAGAATGAATTGCAGTCAAGCAAAGTTGTCTGTGCAAATTGTTCTCAGTTGAAAGAGCAAAACATGGAGCTGGAATTAAAGCAATCCGAGCAATTATTAAGCCTCCAGAATTCTGTAAATGATGACTCCAAACTGGTGACTCACATCCAGATTGAGGGAGAACCAATTGATTCTCTGGATAAGGCTATTCAGTTACAAGACATGGTAGCCAAACACAAGAAGGAGCTTCGAGAGTTGAGGGAGGTCTATGAGCAAGAAGCATCCAAGCTGCGACAAGAAGTAGCCAAAGCTGGAGAAACGCTAAGACTAAGGTCCGAGGAGAACGTAAAAGAGATTGACTCTTTGACCATCTGCATGGAGAATCTGAAGGACAAGCATGAAATGGAACGAAACATTTTGGTGGAACGTTTTAACCAGGAGATGGTAGAACTTAATGATGCTTTGGGCCTTCATGGAGCTGACCTTGCAGATGATGGCAAGCCGAACCCAGCGTCCCTCAAGCAGCAGATTCAAAAGCTGGTGTCGCAGGTGTCGGTCATGACCGAAGAGATGAAGAGTCAAGATCGTGGAGGGGAGGCAGCATTGCTTCGTCTGAAATACGAGAAAGACCTGGAAAACCTAAAGGTCGAGATGTTCCTTGTCCTTGTTGTTCTCCATCCGTGATGGCTTGTATCTCCTTGTGGCAACCTGAGACTTGACCCTTTCCCCATCCTTTTCACTTACTAATTCTACCATCCTTTTCTGCTTTACCTATATAACTCATCTCCAGCCTTGCATGGTCATTAACCTTGGGCATGCTTGTAGCTTTTGGTGTTGGCTGTGTGTCGAGGAACCCATTTTGATAGCACATAGTAAAAATTAGATTACTGGACAGTGCATCCACCTGTCAGTGCTTCCATCAAGAGAAGGGGGGAAAAATGAGTTCCTCAGAAATAACACAGCATGCTTCATGGCAGACTCCTAACCTAAGCAGTTGTGCAACTCAAAGTCACTCAGTTCAGCCTTCTTGAAGCGCATTTCAAAAAATGTGAAAAGTATCAAGCAGTAGGAATCTTCTAAAACGTGATAAAAGCTTTTTTTGTTGTATAAAAGGTAAAAATAAAGCAGCAGTAGCTTGTTAGCTTGATGAGATTTAAGGGGCATGCTGTGCAAATTGCATTACATCTGTGTTAGGCCGTATGCAGGTCACCTGATTGACTTTGATATGGTGCATTTTTTTCTTACTTACACCTGATTTAACATCTCTCCTTGCAACCTTAGATTAACAATTAACAAATAAGCAACAGCCTATTTTTAATCACTGAAATGCACTAGCTTAAATTTACTAATCTGTTTGCTAAGATTTAAGTACAGTGGAATGTAGCAAAATGTTATGAAGATTGTAGATAGTTGTTTGTTCTACCTAATTCAGTCCTGTTTTAGCTCCCAGCACACTTGGGCTAGGCAAACAGCGACCGTGGAATGCTGATTGCCTGGCTCAGGTGTGCTGGGAACTATAATAAAACAAAAATGCAGACTGCCTGGTGATTTTCTAAGACTCAGTTAGGAACCTTTTGTTTAAGTCAGAGAGAATGTTTGGCTAAGGTAATGGATACTCTCCAAATGTGTTTTAGACATAATTATTTTAGCATTGTAAATACTTTGGTAAGTCTCTCTAAGTATGTATAATCTCAGAAGTTAGATGCTTTGTGATCTGGGGATGTTTTTGAAGCACAGATAAATAATAGACTGGCATTACAAGATGAATTCATTGCGCATATACAGGTCTGTTGTTAAATAGCAAATACAGTGCTGCGCAATAAATCCTTCTTTTATGTAATTTTCAGTCAGAACAAGAAGTACAAGTAATTTTTTTTCAAGTGATATTTCTGAGAAGATTGGGTAAAAATATTCCACTTGCATAAGGTAGGGGAAAGCAAAAGGAGTTTGTAAAATTATTAAAAGATTCAGAGCAGAGAAAACGGGACTCCTGAAAACCATGCAAGACCTGGTAGACCACCAAAACTGTCACCGCCAGATTAACAGTACTTATTTTTGAGAGAGAGGAAAAAATCAAGCTCCACTCAGATCTGAAAAATTCCACAGCTGTTTCTTTCCATCCCTCCACTTTGAGGGAAAAAATTATGGAATGTAGTTGTTAAGGCTTCTATGTAATGTTCTGTTAAAGTGAAGTTTTCTGCTTTTTTTTTCCTGATACTGAAAAACGAGTAAGCCATTTTGACTGAAAATAAATAAATGAAGGCTGGTGCTTATTTTTGCACAGTATTGTAGCTCTAAAAAGTGTTTCAGTTCTTTTGTTCTTTTTATATCTTTATATGTTGCTGAACATGGAATATTCAATATGAATATACAGGAGGATGGTTGTAGTTTGACAATGAAGAGTGGAGCTGGCATGAAGCATAAGTAGGCCTCTGTCTACGATGTGGTGGCCAGAATTTTAGCTGAATTTTTACTCATCTAAAATCTCATTTTGCAATCCTTTTTTATTTCTTTATGCTGTTGTCTATACTTATGCTAAGGGTTAAATGTACATATACAGACGAAGTAGGTTTGTTTGAACATTTTGTCAGTTAAAAACACTGTAGTGTCTAGCTTGTTTAGTTATAATCTTGTTCTCTGAAGTGGTGAAAAACGAAATAGAAAACCTAAAAGAGTGTGCTATTTGTGTTTTTATAATGGCCCAGTGGTGCAGTATTAGACATTGTTCCTGACAGAAAAGGAAATTAGCCTTTCCACTAAAAGAGCCTGGTGAATAAACAAGTGCAGTGTGGCCTGGACAGGAAGCTGCTCTGTTCACAGTGGGAGTTGGCTGCCTTTAAAGCAGAGGTTCATGAGACAGAGCCCTGTCCCTGGGACTTAGCTCTATGAAAACAACCGTCCTGCATGCTCATCTGATCAGGCCCACAGAGAGTTGGTCAGTTTTGATGACCAAATACCAAGATTAGAGCCATTCAGTAAGCAGAGGAAGTAGGTTTGTTCAGACACAGTAGGAAGGGCATTCAAATCCTCTCTTGTGGAAACTTGCACTGTAACTATGATAACGTGGCAAATTCGTGGTTTGGTTTGAAACTGTACTGATTAAAAAAAACTTCCTATAGATGTCGTCATTGTTGGTGGACAATTCATTGTTTGCTCATTACTGAAATGAGAACTAGTGCTGTGATTAATAGCTGTTTGTAGTTTACTGTTGTTTGTTCCTTTTTAAGACTTGGCCTGCATTCCACTAAGGATGCAATAAAAAGAAGGCTAATTAAAAATGCTTCCCAAAGTATAATTATCCTGTGGAACAGCTAATGAGCAGTGTTTCAGCAAAAAAGAGAAGGTGGGCAGCATTACGGTCATGGAAAATAAGATTGCAATTGGACAATAGCCGTCTTAAATTATTCCACCAATGCAGGGAGAGCTACATAACCTTCCCCAGCAAATCTCTCTGGCTTCTATGTGCTGTCTGTGTTCAATGTAGACTCTTGATTTCTAGCTTTGTGTGGAAACCTCTCTGCAGTGCTAATGTCTGTCTGTGTAATTGTTGTCCTTGTGAAACAGCAGCTTTTAATTGGTAAATACAGCTTAAGCAATGCACTGACCGGCGCCCCTTGTTTCCTGGTTCCTTCCCACTTATACAGGCCACATGTGAGAGAGGTTTCGCTGCCATGGAAGAGTCCCATCAGAAGGTGATAGACGAGCTGCAGAGAAAGCACCAGCGGGAACTGGAGAACCTGCAGGAGGAGAAGGAGAGACTGCTGGCAGAGGAGACAGCAGCCACCATTGCTGGTGAGTCATTATAAAAACAATAGTGCACCAGTGTAGTAACAGTGCACATTAGTGTTACTTTATTTGTTTCTAATGTGCCTACTTGGTGTATAGCCATTGATAATCCCTGTTAACTTTCTATATATGTTTTATTTATTAGTACTTTTGTTTGTTTGTTTTCCAGCTATTGAAGCAATGAAGAATGCGCATCGTACTGAGCTGGAGAAAGAATTGGACAAAGCACGAAAGGCTAATAGCAATACTGAAAATGCAGATATTGAGGAGATTCGGAGGCAGCATGAGTAAGTGGTTCTCTTGTACCGTATCAGAAAGGCAGGCATCATGCAGTGGTCTTGCTGTATCTTTTTTGGCATCTAAATAATAGCCTAGGGCCAAAAAACTCATGTATTGTGATCTTTTAAATAAGTGCTGATATTACGCGACTCATGCTTCTTTCATTCTCTTATGTACCACTTTTTGTTTGTTTTATCGTTTTGCTTTTATTCAACCAGTCCTCTTGTACAGTAATTCTTAGTTCTTAGAATAAGTTAAAAAATGCATGCAGTATGAAAGACTGTGGTCAGTTATAGGCTATACAAATGGAACATTTAACTACATACATAATTTCAACACCACTTGGAAAGATAACATAGATTTTCAGTCTGAACGCTGGGGAATGTGCTGATGAAACAAAGAAACTCCAGCAGTGAAATGGACAAGCAGAGAAAGGGTCACAACGTGCCCCCAATGTCAAGTTTCATATATTGGAGGGAAAAAATAAAGCATACAATATAAAAAAATGCCATAACTTTTGCACAGGCCATGTTTTATGTTAGGTTTATTTTTTTCTACTTTGTTAATTTCAGCAGATAAACAGTAATTGTGTGTTAAAATATGCAGATGTGTGTCCTAAGTTATTTTTACTTAGAAAATCAACCGAACATGTTCATTTGACCCAGGGGCACTCAAACTTTTGCTTACAACTGTATGTGGAAATTATATTACCATTAGAGAAAATGTAAGTTAATGTAAGGAGGTTTTATTTCATGTAAGTTTGGAACATTTCTATTAATCCATTCATCATGAAATTTTCACAGAATGTGAAGGACAGCCACCGTATTCACAAAACCTTTTTTCAATTTCTTTGGGGGGCAGGTGTTAGTGACAATATGATAATTGTCTCTCTACATTTATATTATCATTTAAGCTTACTAAATAATTTACACCAGGTACTCTGTTTTTAAAACAGTAGGTCGAACTTAATTCAGTCCAGGTCCTCATTCTTGATCTGGTTCTAAGAATCACAGGTTAAACTTAGGATAATAATATGGATTATTTCCTGTAATGAGATGATACTGGCAGTTACGCACTGCTTCCTTTTGTACTCTAAAGGAACTAAATGAAGCATTTAGGGTCATTGATCAAACCCTGATTGTGTGACTCGTCTTGGTTGCCAGGCGTATTCTAGGGCAGTGAAGTTAAAGTGATGAACTTGCCAAAACTAGTATTACCAGGCATTTTCATTCAGAGGCCTTTTGTTTGTTGGCATGGCAATAATCCGACTACAAACCAGTTCTTGGCATAGTTTCTGTCTAGACACGTACGACTAGCTTTTAAAGTATTTTAACATTGGATGTCAGACAAATGCAAAAGCAGCAATGACTGAAGTGTTTCCTGGCATGTGTGTTTGGCAGGGAGGAGCTGCTGTCATTCCAGAGGGAGATTGAGGTGCTGTCTGAGCAGTACTCACAGAAGTGTCTGGAAAACGCTCACCTGGTACAGGCACTGGAAGCGGAGAGACAGGCCCTGCGCCAGTGCCAGCGAGAGAATCAGGAGCTTAATGCACACAACCAGGTGAGTCAGGAGCTTTGGGTAAAGATGCTGCAAACAGTACACTCAGCCCATGATTGTATTTGATTTATGATTTGGGTTCTTGATTCTCACAATATTTTGAACACAATTTGAATGAAAAAAAGTGATGACTGTGATCATGATGTTGCACAACTTACTAATGACACTAGAGCTGGGAAGCAGGAGGAGTGCTGGATTAAAGTGGTGACTAATGCTGATCATTTGCAATCTTTGGTGTTCAAACAACACAGTTGCGTTAGATGGCACAAATAATAGAATATCCATTCTCCATACTGCATTTTTCACATCTCCATGATGCACATTGTTACAGTTTTGCATTCAGAAGTCATTGTTACATCCTGAATATCACGTTTCGTTTTGTGGTTTGAGAACAAAACTACAGAACTGTAGTGCCACCCTTAAAAAGTCTGTGTAAGTTAGTAAAAAGGCTACTGAGAGTACTGGGATTTTTTTATTGTATGTTTTTATTGAACATTTGAAAATAGAGGTTTTAGGATTTGATTTTTATGCAGTTACTGTACATTGGCTGTTGGTCTGAATCTGTCCTGATATGCATAGTATGCTCAAAGTATATTGTGGTGTTGTAATTCATCATGTAAATTGCAGAAGAAATACACACAAAGCTTTTTTTGTACAAGAATTTTATTACTATACTGTACTATACTATGCGGCTAATACTAATGCTTATGACTGAATTTGCAATGGTAGTACTTTTTAGTACATTGCAATGGTAGTACTTTACGTTTGTGGGGGACATACCATTATTTGGTAGTATGTGGTTTTGGAAGCTGCATTCCCAGCTGCATCTCTGTCTGAGTCATAGCAACTTAGCGAGCTAAAGCTAGCCTAGCAGGCAAAATTAAGCTAGCAAACTGTCTGTGGATGTTTCCGCTAACACTCATTTTTTTTCGTATTGTACAAACATTGGGCCTCATTCTCCAGTACCTGCCTAAGTTTTTCATACATTTTTGTTTCTAGAGAAAGGTCCTAAGAAAAAGTATATGTCAGATACATGACGTGTTCGTTAACCACAGAATTACCTTTGTGCTCTTGAGTGACCGTAGATTCTGATCTTTCCTTAGAACGAATCCCAAATAAGAAAACATTGGTGAATGTCAGAATCTTTGTGAAAAATGCAGAAGTGGGTTTTAGGAATTTTCTTCTTAAGAATGGTTGGTGAATGGGACCCATTTTTAATATTTTACACTGTGGACTTTATGCTTGTAACTTGAGGTAGCTATAATGACAACTGTTTTCTTTTTATTTTAAAAGGAGCTGAATAATCGTCTGGCTGCTGAGATAACTAAAATGAGATCAATGACCAGTGAGGAGGGGGGAGAAGCTGGAACTGTCATTCAGGGGAAGGAGCTGTATGAACTAGAGGTCTGTTTTTTATGTTTTATGTTTAAATTCTAATATGTAACATTGTTGTACCTTTATGTAAAAATCGGTCTATGTATTCCAAACATACTTACTAATAAGTGGTACTTCTTGCTTATAGGTAATGCTGAGGGTGAAGGAGTCAGAGGTGCAGTATCTGAAGCAGGAGATCAACTCATTAAAAGATGAACTCCAAGCTGCTCAAAGAGTATGTGCTTAATGTGAAATTTATAGCTGAATGAATGAATTTGATTAAACATACCATGCTGGAATCCTAAACTGATTGATTTTGCGTTGGTGCTCTAGGATAAGAAGTATGCAACAGATAAGTATAAGGACATCTACACAGAGCTGAGCATTGTGAAGGCCAAAGCAGAGCGGGACCTGGGGCGGCTGCGAGATCAACTGCAACTGGCCCATGAGGCCCTGGGAGAGCCAACGCCGGAGGAGGTGCAGCGGGGAGGTTACGGTATGGTCTCTGATCCTGCCCCAGTACAGTCTGAGAGCCCTGAAGCCAATTCCAGTGATAGCATTTAATCTCAGGATTAGAAGGGATTTATAATGTTTTTATTACACTGAGTAACTTTTTTCTGATTGTTTTTCCCCTTTTCACATTATTGGCTTTTCAGATATCATGAAATCAAAGAGCAACCCAGACATTCTGAAAATGGCGGCGGCAGCTGCAAAACGCTCGGAGCGTGCCATGAGGTCAAAGGTAGGTGCCTACACACAGAAATGTATTTTTAGGAGGAATCTGCAGTCTGTCTCCTGTTTTTTTTTTACTTTTGTCTTCCCTTCATTTTGTGATTTGAGAAGAAATAAGCTCGAGATGGAGTGAGAATACAGCTGCCGTGCAACGGAGTAGGGCTAATAGTGCCACCCTCAGGTCAACTCAGTTTACTTCTTGATGAATTCCTCTGGATCCTTTTGGTCATGTAGTGCATTACTTGCTGTTAGATAGAAAAAAATATATTTTTATCTGTGCTATAATTAAGCCGGTAATTACAATCAATAATTTTGCATCCTATTTTTAGTTTGTACACACACTGGAGGATGTGTAGAAGCATGTGTAGCCACCATTGGTGGGATTTTCTCTGCTGGCCATTCAGAGTTACCCTGTAACAGCTGGCAACAGCCTATAATGTAACACAAAACTGACTTTGTCACAAACTGTATTCTAGTTTTTTTTAATTAACATTATTTCAGTTTTTGATTTGTAACAAAAATTGTTGCACACTGATGCACCTCTTTTATGATGAATGCTCTAAAAAGTCAGAGGCATGGCTTGGCGATGTGCTCTGGTGTTTGGTGCGAAGTTAAGTCATATAGGTTTATAGAGATGACATTTCATGTCCTGTACAGATCAACAAAACCTATTAGCCTGTTATCTCTCTTTATGATTCTCTCAGATATGCTGTGGTTAAACAAGTGACCAAGGAAAGGCTCAGCTTCAATTTGTATCTTGTTCAGCTGCAGGGTTGCATAGTGGCAGAATACATGTAACAGCGTTATGTAATCAGGATACACAAAAGTAACAGTAATCTGTTACAGTTACATTAAAAAAGACAGTAATCAGGTTATAGGTACATTATAAATGCCAGATTCTACAGCAGCAGACTGATCTGATTTGATCAGAGAGTAAACGTTTTATTCTTTCGTTGCATTATTTGTAACTAAGATGATCAGCTCCCACTTAATGCCTATTTTAATGCCTGTTTAAACTTGTAGGACTGATTAGGGAGCATCTAAAAATTCTGATCATCAAAGTCAAATAAGGAAAAGTCTCAGGAGAGTAGTAAAGTTTTTAACTGCTTTGCATTTGATCCAGTGTACTGGATCATTCTACATGAATAACTTGTTCCCCTGTGCTTTAGTCTAAGAGCTTGTAGTGTCAGTGTGTTGTTTATTTTTTATTTTTTAATGTCCGTTTAAAATCACCTAACTGACCTAAGAGAGGGATTGTGTATTAAATTAAAATAAACTGAGTTTAAATGAAAGTGGCTATAAAGGTGTTTGTAAACTTATGACTTCAACTGTAAATTCTTGTTAAAAAGTCTTGTTGAAATTATTTTTCTCTTTATTTCATTACACATCTTCAATTAAAGACAAGTAACCAAAAGTGAGGGAAGGTAATCAGATTACATGAACATAGTAATCTTTTGGATTAGGTTACAGTTACATTTTTCAACATGTAATCAGTAATCTATAATGGAATAAATTTTTACAGTAACCCTCCCAACCCTATTCAACGGTCAGACTAGAGCCAAACAGATGAACTTGTAGGGGGCTATTCCCTCTGTGTTAGCCCCTTTTTTATATCATTTTGACATTTAATTTGACTTCAGTCTGTCAACTGTAGGGCGACGTGCAAAGTCGTAGCTGTGTTCGCCTGCTGTGATTTTTTATTTTTATATTTTAATTGTATTTATTTTTATAGCTAAGTATCAGGTTCATCACTGGGTAATGATGATCTTGAACTTTGTTAGTTGTCAGTTAATTCAATATCCCTGTGCCTTACTGCGTGTAAAATTCTGTTTTAGTAATGTAGTCTGGGTGATTGATGTTGCTTCAGGTTTTTCATATATTTTACTCCCTACAGGAGAAAGCCTGGTAAGTAATGGTGAGAAGTGTGCTTTTGATCCTCCTTTAACACACAGTGGTGTGGCTGTTTGTGTTTGTGTGTGTCTCCCCCCCTTTCCCTCAGTCTGTGAGTCGTGACATGCCCTGGGACAGCTAAAGACTTAAAGGTGAAGACCTGTTGACTGCTAATTTTAGGTGAATGGCTTGGGAATAGACAGGACAGGGCACATCAGAAGACTCCAGCTTTCTGCAGAGGACACTTGGACACATCAGATAAGGCTTAATGAAGTAATAGGCAGACAGTCACCTGTGGAGATTACATGTGTTTTGGGGGTCTCTGCATGCACTTGTTATACTGTCCCATCATGTGCACTGAGGAGAGCCACTGATGTCATCCCCTCACATCTGCAACCAACTCCATACTCACCCCTACTCACAAAGTGTATTATACTTATAAATATATTTAATAGATCAGCTTTGCACTTTCCTGTGCCAGAGGGTTTTCAAATCATTCACATTTCAAAAAGGAAGTATCGGTGATCCTGTTCTTTTAAATTTAGATTCGTGTAAATCAGAGAGACCAACTCAGGCCTGAAGATCAGCCTGCTGCAGAATTTAGTTCCAGCCCTAATCAGACATACCTAGCACCAATGCTCTGAACCAGTTAGACAAACAAAACTACATCCAAAATGTAATCATTCTTAACTGTTCCTGAGCAGACACATTCGGAATTGCTTTTCACAGTTAATAATATTTAGTCCATGTCGCCCACTAGCTTATTATTAATGTCTTGCGTCCAAACTCCAGATCTTTTGTTTGTTTTGTGGGGGTTTTTTTTCCTGAGTCCTGCCTGATACAAGTATTTATTTCGATCAAGTGTAATAGTGGGACTGGAACTAACGTTTGCAGGAAGGTGCGGCCCCAGGAGCAGGTTTTAACAACCCTGGAATAAAGCATGTTTATTTCCCAATGGCCATTCATATCCTTCCTCTTCCAAACAAACTTGAGTTTACTGGATTTGGAAACACCTTTTCTCCAGTTCTTCTGAAGCAAAGATCAAGTAAACAAAAGGGATCTGCATGTCCTGAAGTAACTTCTAACCGGGAAGTGAAAGTTCACGCGCATGCACGAATGTGTGGGCTTTCTCTTGTCTAGTCATAAGAGAACGCTCGCTATCAGCATGTCACTAAGATCATTCAGATAACGGTTCACTGTTGAAGTATCCGCAGTGGTCCACAGCAATGACCTTTCCCTCTCTGTCTTTGTTCTCTTCTCAGAGTCTCAAGGAAGGCTTGACAGCAGAGCAAAGACTCCACTTGTTTGACAACAAGGACACTAAGGAGTTCTGACATTGATGTGTCATCCTGACTTGCTGCATGTTATAAAGAGGCCCACAATATTTTAGCCCAGCAATTTAATCACTTAGAAACACACTGGTCACCGCACACGGCATATATTAAACATGGTATGAAGTTTTGAATTTTATGTCTGTAGTCTGCATTCTGTGCACTTCAGTTACTGTGACATTTTTTTATTACCATGTCTTAATGTAAATATTTTGTTTTTAATGAAGCATCTATAATGCGTACACTAAAACTGACCGTGTAAGCTACTGTTTTAACTCTTTAGTATGTGTGAATAGCCAAAGGATAAATAAATATGTAATGACTCCAATTATACTTACTTAATAAAGAGTAGAAACAATCATACCTGCAGACTTCGTTATTACGCTAGATGTGGTATTCACATTCCCTCCAGCTTATTATTATTATAACGCAATTGGACAGATGGACAATGTGAAATTGGGCAAATTTGACTCAGTTTAATACCCAGAAGTGTACTTGTACATGGTGATTACTGAATGTTTAAGTATAGGACCATTTTGAGACAACAACCAGTTAAAGCATTGGAGTTTGTATCTGGAGGGCTTTTGCTAGTGTAAAATTATATATACAAATTTATATAGGGTTTCCTTTATGTAATCATTATGGTCAGTCCACTGATTGGGAGGTCAAGGTTGTTTAGTTTTTTCATTTGTTTGTTTGTTTTTTTTTTATTATTATTTTGTTATTTTTTTTCTTGTCTCTTCAAGCTGATAATGTCTGTAGTGTTGTTCAATGGCAGTTCCTTGTATTTATTTAAATGTCTTTTTTTGGCTAACAACTGCATTCCTCTATACATTGTTATTGTAAATATACCACAAATGTACACCAACTGACAACAGGTTTATTAGCAATAAATATTTTTGCACCCTGTATGTTGCCTATTCAGCTTTCTGTTTTGACCACAAACACATTAAAATATAAACACAGATAGTTTTGCTGGTAGGGAAATAAACATAATATTGAAGGTGCTCTGTGGACAGGGGTTCAAAAACGTATTAGTGAAAATCCCTGGCACTATTCATTGAGTGAAAAAAGCCTTTATAACATAGCTATAGACAAAATCTCTCGACACGTTTCGGCTTGATCCTTCCATCAGGGAGAGTCACTCTCCCTCAACAGAGTGACTCTCCCTCATGAAGACTCGAGCTGAAACGTGTTGAGAGATTTTTTGTCTATAGCCATAGTATTATAAAGGCTTTTTCACTCAGTGATCAGGGCCATAATTTTTACTTTTTTCTCACATTATTTGCAGTGATGGGTGTAATGTGTTAAGTAACCTTTTCCTGTAACGATGAAGTATAACACATTAGTTACCCACTTAATAAGAATTGTTATGTCTCAAACAGAATGGTATTAATTGCGTACAATGCATTTAAAACATCCTCTGTATGCACCATCAGCCATGATATTAAAGCATCTCCTAGTTTCTGCACTCGTTGTCCATTTTATCAGCTCCACTCACTATATAGGTGTAGTTCTACAATTAGGTTCTCTGCATACTTTCTTTGGCCACTTTCACCCTGTTTTTCAATGGTCAGGACCCCCACATGACAGGTATTATTTGGGCGGGGGATCATTCTCAGCACTGCAGTGACACTGACGTGGTGGTGGCGGCATGTTAGTGTGTGTTGCGCTAGTGCGAGTGGATCAGACTCAGCAGTCCTGCTGGAGTTTTTAAACACAGTGTCCACTCACTGTCCACTCTGATATCCTACCTTGCTGGTCAACCATGTAGATGTAAAGTCAGAGACAGTAGATCATCTTTTGCTGCACAGTTTGTGTTGGTCATCCTCTAGTCCTTCATCAGTGGTTACAGGACGCTATTAGTCCAGCAGTGACACTGACATGTTTAAAAACTCCAGCAGCACTATTTATAATGGTTTTCTGATAAGGTTTTGTCTTAAAATGAATTTTTATCCATTTATGGTAGAGGGGTACATGCAGGGTCCCCAAAGAAAACCTTTTTTTTCTGATTTACCACTATTTTACCATCATCATTACATACAAGAACTCAGAAGACACGCAGGTTCTGGTGGTTTTGGATTGTAAATGAAATGGCTATAATTGTGTTGACCCCTGGTTCCTATCAACACCACTATAAAAACACAAAAAAAAAAAATGTCTAAGTTTCTCTACAAGGACCCAGTTAAAATCAAACCATTCTGATTGACTTTACAGATCAAGGAGTGAATTGTTCAGAAACTTTGAAAAATTGGTGTAATGCCCCTTTAAAACATTGGCATGTTCAGAAGCTGTTCAGAACTCACTCGTGGATCTGGACGTGGCCTCCACCGTGTCATTTCACGTGCAGCTGAATAGACGTTAAAACAAAGTCAGATAAATGTGTTTCAGTTTGCGCCCATTTACTGACGCTGCATTTGTCGATAATCACAAAATTAAATGTAACCTTCGAATTAAAACATTGAATTTAATTCAACATTTACCCCCAATTCATGTGTACGGAGGGTAATGCACTACATCTCCCATAATTCTCCTTAATGGCCTCATCACTGACAACTATGAATATTAGCAGAGCTTGGACAGAGCTAGTTAGCTTTACCATGGAGAGAGGACTTCAAAGTATGAGAGTCTCGTACTTATGGGTCGCGTTTTCGAAACTCAGTGACGTTACATTATTAAAAACGTCCTTGCGGTTTTAAACTTTAGCTGGTGTCGGAATGGGTTTGGACTGGTTTCCTAATTCTGAATATTAACCCCACTTCTCTTCTCGGGTAAGTTTTATTGCACTCCTCTTTGTTTTAGCTGTATGGCTAGTTCAGCTGCAGCTGGCTGCGTTCGCCTGAGCTAGCACAATGTGCTATGACGGTCTTGTTCAGAGCAGCTACTGACGTTATTATGACTCTTAGGTAACTAACTTAGCTGGGTAGCTAGTCACCGCATTTATTTCGGCTGACTGTAATGTTAGTAGGTTTCTGAATCGCTAGTGTAAGCTGAGAAAGTCACAGTATTTGCTCGTTATCTTAATGTAAGCCTACAGTCATGCTAACGTGCTCAAAGCTAAACTAGCATAACGTTACATGGCTAAGTTAGCAAGCTGCTAGCAAAACAACGCGTTGTTGAGTAACAGCCTAGCAAGTCATTAACCAGTGCAAGCTTTATAAGTACCTGTAAAAAGGCTTAGTAGCTTGAGACAAATAACGTTGTGAACCAAGCTGTTCGGGACCGATAACGAGTTAACTAGCTAGCTAGCTAACTAGCGTTAGTCTGTTAAATAGGGCTAACGTTCCCGAGTGGCTTTCTGACCTCGAAGTTTTGACGGTGTGACAGTAGCCTGTGCTGACCCGCAGGGTCGACAGAGAGACATTAATAAGTGACAAGTGAAAATACGCTGTCTGACAAGTGATGCTTCTGCTGTCGATAGCACTCAAACCGCAGATAACAGGGCAGCTAGTAAGGCACTGTGTGCTGGCAGGGCAGTAGACGTTAGTGCCAGGTCCACTGTGTCCAGCTGGTTAGCTGGGTCCAGAAGGACTAGGGCTTTGTGGCCAGTGCTACTCTGTCTCCTCGCTCAGTTTGAACACTGAAACTTCTACTGGGTAGCGTTATTAGCCAGCGATCCTCGTCAAATTTACTCACGAATGTGTGTAAGCTGGACTTTAGCGAATAAAGACTTTTACTTTTTCGTTGTCGCTTGTTTTGGATCAAATCTGACACTAAACCGAATTAGAGAATATTAAACAACTACAATTACATACCGCACTGCCAAGTACATTGACGGAGTGAGCTGTTGTAATGTTAGTTAAAGATGTGGTGACGTTAGCTGTTGTTTCCTCCTTGTTAGAGTTATCCCTGCTGAAAAAAATGTTAGTAGATGATTTCAGATGGCCTTTGAGGGTCATCCTGCTAGTCTGAGATGGTAAAAGTGGTTGTTGACTCGCTTGACTAGGAGGAAACATACCCTATACTATGGTATAGGTTTTCTTTCCAGTGAGGCAGAAGCACACTTCATATAACTAATTAGTTGTATGAAGGCTGAGACCACCTGGTTGAACAAGTGGAATCAGGTGGGGTTCTGCAGCCACACCGGCCATTTCCGGATACCATTTGTAACCCTTGAACTTAACCATCAAATATAAACATAGCCTGTCCTGGTCAACCAGCAAAACTGGCCTAGCAGCTAAAGTGGCCTATGAGCTTAAACTCTTTTTTCACCAGGGTACCAGGATTTAATCATAGTTTAGTATTTTTTAAAGGAAAGAAGTCAATAAATGTCATAAACATGATCAAAAAGCTTGTATTCTGTTTGCCAAGAGTGAGGAATGTTGATAGCACTCAGTCCTTACTGAAAGCCCATGACTGTATGTCCTGACCTTTCAGAAGTGATGGTGGAAATGGGCTGGGCTCCACCAAATTATTCTGAGTGACTGCCAGGTTGGTTAGCTGTCCATGTGTTACTACTGCTGTTTTTGAATGACTGCTGTTAACTGATATAATTAATTGTGTTTGATGGAAACATTGAGTTCTAACCCCATGTTTTCACACTTGCAGCTGCTATGGAACAGCCCCCTGGCACCTCAGATGGTTTACAGCCTCAGGAACTCTCTTCCGCCTGCAGCCTGCCCAGTGTTTTTAACCTGACGAGGAATAGTGAAGAGTGTCTGTTGAAAGCCAACTCCATAGAGGCCTTGCATGTTGTCCAGCCACCAAGCTGGTATGTGAGTTCTGGGACCAGCAATGGGATGGTGCTCCCAGTGGACGACTCCAACCCCCCACCTCAGCCCATTGACCAGATCCAACCAGACAATGCATTTTCCAACACAACCGTCACACTCTCTTATGTGAGCAAGTCTCATGTCTTTACTACCCACAACTCTCTCTCGGAGCATTCCCCGTTTTATGGGGTTCCGTTAAGCAAGACGTTCTCTTTGCACCCTGCTGCGTACGATGGGGGCCAGTTGGTCACTGACACGGGTGGAGCTCCACTCTGTGTGGAGATGGACCAGCATTGTCTGCAACAGGTCTCTGTACCAGTTGGGTTAGCAGCCTGTGCCAACTCATTTGAGTTTGTCACACCAGCGCAGGTTGTTGAGAATGTTGCAGGGCTCTGTTATCTTCAGCAAGCTCATGAAATCAGTGGCATACAGGATGTTGAAAGCCTTGCTTTGGAAACACTCAAATCTTTACAGCAGAGCAACCCCAATGAATGCAAGATTCCTCTCAGCCTGGAGCAAATGCAGAATGGTGGTGTCACTGGCTTGTGGGACACAGGAGCCTTTGATGGGAGCTTCCCTGCTGGACACATTGCAAACTCTGAGGATCAGCAAAGGAACGGTAACCCTGAGGTTCTGTTCCTTATCTCCAGATCGGAGGAACCGGTTCTTGTACAAAACAACCAGGCACCTGCAAGCCTTGCCGTTTCATTAAACCAAGACTTTATTAGTACACTGGAGGATTCAGTGTCACCCCCTGTTGCCTCACTGGATGAGGTAAAGGATGTTTTCATTTTGCCACAGACTGTAAGCGAGGAGGTAAATTCATTTATTGAAACAAATAACACTAGGCAAGATGAAACAGGTCAGGGAGAATCTGATCCAACTAAGAGTGTGGAAGAGACAGATTTATCATCTGTAACTGATGTTGCAATAGGATTCGATACCAGCATTAGCAATCAACTAACAGGGAATACTGTTGACACATGCAAACCAGAACAGACAGAGCAGAGTAGTAATTTATCTGGGGTAGAAGAGGAGAGGGCAGCAAAGCATACTCTAACAAATAGGACTTTGCATGTGAGCGGTGGTTTATTTGCCAAAAAGGAAACCATTGTAAGAAAAAAGCTTCCCCCAAGAACTAGAAGAGGTAAGAGGTTAGAGGCCATTGTTCAGAATATTTGCCCCATCAGGTACAAATCCAATCATGTCTCTTCCACAAAAAAATCACAGTGTGCAAACGCTCAGGCAGATGAGAGTGCTGATCTGGGCTCTGAGCAAGATATGTCATTTGACAACAGCAGCCAAGATGTTCGGGAGGAAGCGTGTGCTGAGGAGGCGGTGACCAAACCTAATGAAAAGCCAGCAGAATTACAGGAGAAGGAAGAAGAAACAGGTGTCACTGATTTGAACAGTTCTGAAAGCAAATTGTCTACCTCATGTTCTGCAAGTGTTTTGAAACATTCACCTGACCACACATCCCCAGAGACATTACACAAACCAATAAAATATGGCAAGAAATCAAAGAAACGGCATAAAGTTTCAAACAAGTCCCGGGTAAAGGTAAGAAATCAGACTGCACTGCCTACGCAGCAGCTCTGTGCAAAAAGTCCTTCGAAGCGGCAGACGTTAGTTATGAGTAGCAAAGGTTCGCCAAGAGCAAAGAAAGTTCATGCTCCCAAAAGAAAAAGAAAGAAGCATAAACATGGCCAGAATTTGATTTTCTCTCCCCAGGAGCCAGAGATAAAGCTCAAGTACACAAACTATAAAGATGATAGAAGGGAAAAGCGAGACGAGACCTTCTCACCTTTCGTCCGTGTGGAACTGAAGATGTATCCCTCGTGCACGGTCGTCAACTACCCTGAGGAGAGTGAAAGGCTGAACAGGGGAAAGCAGCAGGTACCCTCCAAGTTTTCTTCTGGGGCAGTACCTGCAACACCTTGTCTCCAGTATGGCCGTGTCTCCATGGAGGCAGTTCAGCGGGGTGCTCTGGTCTGTTGCCTTTGTGGAGGTTCTGCCAATGCTATGGACCTGGGGGACTTGCATGGGCCATACTATCCTGAGGGTTTCAGGCCAGTGTCAAAAACGGCGACTAATTCACAGGAACTGAGAGAGGAAGATTCCAGTGACACAGACTCCTCTCATGTTGCCAATGGTAACACACATGCAGCTCTCTCACCGCCTAGCTGGACTCACCGTAAGAATCATCGCAAGGTACGTGAGGCTGCTGCTCTGGGGACCTATCAGGGGTGGTCCAGTGAGGGTGACCTGTCTTGTAGCCTTGCACCTAAGAGATCCCGGATGGACACTGTAACGGACTGGTACAGCCCCCCCATAGTGCCACTAGAAGCCAGTGAGTACTGGCTCCACGAGGACTGTGGCATATGGTCAGCAGGTGTCTTTCTTGTGAGAGGAAAGCTCTATGGGCTTGAGAAAGCTGTTAAGATGGCGAAGGAGACGGTAAGTTTTTAGCTTTACAGCTAGCAGTGTGGTTAGTTTAAACAGTTAAGTGAAAAGTCTGTTTTTCTTTCCTTTTACCCCAAACAGCCAAGACATGTTTGCCCCATTTGTTTTGCACAGGGCTTACAAGGCTAATGTAGCTAACAAGTTCACCATCAACTGGCATAAATGGCATAAGTAATTGCGATTAACAATGTCCTTTTTTCCCTACAGTTTATGCAACTATTGCAGGACAAGTTCCCAAATTAGCTTGTGAACCTGATAAGCTATTTTTTTCCTAGCTGTCAGTATTTATTAGTGCCCAGCTGTTGACAGAAACAGCTTGAGCTCAAATAAACAAATACTGCTCACCACTGCTCACAGCACTTGTGGTACCAGGCGTCAGTAGTGGGTAGACCCAAGACCCTCGCATGTATTCTTTGCATGCATTTATCTCAACCCAGTGTATGAAAACTTACCAAACACTCCCGATTGTGGAAGCTAACCGCTGTGGCAATTGCTATTAGGTGTTTAGGTAATTACTGCGATGGGCTTTCTGAATAATGGAAGCACATACTACCCAATTAAACATCATACAAACTGCATGCCTAAAATATTGCACACTCAATGTAACCCACATTGACTTGTTAAGCAATCTCAAACAGACTTGTAGAAGTTGTGGGAGCAATCATCTTGAAGCCTAAATTTTACATACACCTCTACTCCAGTGCAAAACTAAACAAGCAAATTTGAAACATATCGCTGTTGTTGGAACAAAACCTTGTATCTCCAAAATAGTAATTTTACAGGAGAAGGAAAAAAACATACTTTACTTTTAGTGTAAGTCAGTGGAGCCAGACTTTTTCCAAGTAATTTTGGGCCATTTCCTTTGGTCCATTCATCATAAAATGTACATATAATCTAAAGGACATCAGGCATTTTCAAAGTATGCCAAAAACTAAAAAAACGACAAAAAATGGAGATACGAGGTTTTGTTACGACAGCAACGATATCTTGATTGACTACATATGAGATAAGGGTAAAAATGTGTAGATTTATTTCACACATTTTAATGACTAAACTAGACACTGCTTACCATACCTTTACTTATTTCTTTTCCAGATTTGTTCCTCTTGTCAGAAAACAGGAGCTACTTTGGGATGCTTTTTCAAAGGCTGCCCTAACAAGTATCACTACAAATGTGCAATGCAGTCAGGTGAGTGCTTTTTGATTGAGCATTTTTCCATACTCTGTTCTGCGCACTGTGTAACTGGCCCCTCTTAAAGACATGCAAAACATAATAAGTCTAATAATGCATTGCCTCATGAGATGGCTGTGTTGCTGCCTCACGGCCTGTTAACAGCTGCTCTTTTGGCTACATTTACTAAGCAAACTTGTCCAAGCTTGAGAGTAGGCAGAAGCAAGAATCTTTTAAAAAGGGTGTTGTTGAAATTGGAAGGGAATGTGTTTGAGCATGTAGAGAATAATATAAACTTTATGAAATTGGTTTTGACCAATTGAAGCTTGTTCTGAGTGCATTAACTGCGGTTCAGAGTGCATCTGTAATTCTGGGAAATTGACCTTGATTACAGCTTGGAGTTTTGTCTTAAATGCAGTAGCAACAAGATGTTCTTCTTCCAGCAGTGTTTTGCTGTAAACAGAATTGCTGGTTACAGTTTTAAATGCTTGTCAGGCCCCACACTCTGCTTTGAAGTTTTTAAACTTGTGTTTTATTCTGCTGGAATATTTAATCAGTGTTCACCTTTTCTCTTTGCAGGCTGTGTGCTAAATGAGGAAAACTTCTCAATGAAGTGCAAAAAGCACAAGGTAGGGCTTCTTTTTATTTGCAGAGGGAAATCAGCATGCATTTAAATAATGATCCTTCATAGAAGTCACTGAGCGTGAATGTCGGATGTCTGAATAAAGTAAAATAAAAACAGAACATTTTATCCTTTCCCTACCTATTTCTGGTGTAAGCTCAATGGCCACTTTATTAGAAACACCATTTGAATTCTAATACTGGGTAAGACACCCCTTTTTCCTCAGAACAGCCAGAGTTCCTTGTGGCATGGGCTCAATAAGGTGTTGGAAACATTACTTAGAGATTATGGTCTTTGTTGACAAGATTGCACCCAGGGGTACTGGGGAAGTCAGGGGGCACTGTCCCAAAAGAAAAAAAAAATAATCATCTCAAAATGTTTATAATACACTTTTAGAGTAGCAACAGCCAGAAACTTTAAAGTATATCAAACAATAGTTATTTGGTCAAACTGGCACACAGTAGATCAGTCTCTTTGTAGTTTGTTATACTATATATTAAATATTAAAATCATTATTATTAAAATTCATTATTATCAAACACAGATTATAGATCAGTTCAGTCTGATTTTGCTCTGTAGGCATGTTTAATAAGCTACGTAACAATGTCATGCTCATTGGGACAAATATTTTCTTAGTTAAATTAAATTCAGTATTAATTTTAACTGAAAGCTTAAACAACTCTCCCTCGCTTTCTTCTTGGTCACTAACCTCCATCAAATCTGCTCCTTCAGTTCTTTCAGTCTCCTTCAGCTTCTTTCTTATTTTCCCTTCCTGTGTTTAGTAATACATTCATTTTGTTAAACTTCGATATACAAGAACAAAAAAAAGTTCTCATCTGATTGGCCTTCGACAGAGCTGCTGCCTCTTAATTTCCATCTACAGGTTGTGAAACTGAGGGATATAGAACTGTTATGATTACTTTTTCACACTAAGCTGAAGTCAGCTTGTTATTTGAATTTTCTGCTTAAATGCTACAGCAGTTTCATTCTGGTGCTTTTAGCAAAAAATCCTGTCTTCAGCTCGGTTACAGATATAACCAGAGCCCCTCTCCCAGGTCTGATAGGATTGGCTTACAGTTTTGGCTTACAATGTATGGGGTCTGATATGATTAGCTGAATGTTACCTTAGTCAATCTCTGGTAGTACAGCAGAGGCAGCTCTGCATTAGAGCAGCAGCGCCTCCCCCAGGTTGCACCCTGCTATTACAGTCTATTGTGAATGAGAATAAACTATACATGATTTGGACTGTCATCTATAGTTTGCTCTCATTCTCTTTATTCTCATTCACAATGATTGTACATTTACTCTAGTATCTGCATGTCATAGCAGAAATTAAGATTCATCAGATCAGGAGGCTGTTCAGTTTTGGCGAGCCTGTGCTCAGTGTAGCCTCAGGTCCCTGTTCTTGGCTGACAGCAGTGGAACTCATTGGAACTCAGCTGCTGTTGTAGCCCATCTGCCTTAAAGTTCAATGCATTCTGTGTCCAGAGATGTTTTTCTGTTTACCTGCTGCCACATGATTGACTGATTTATATAATTGCACGATTGGGCTGGTGTTCCTAATACAGTGGCTAGTGAGTGCAAGTTTGTACTGTATCACACATTTACTTTAATCTTAAACTGAAAGCCAGTGAGTCTTGATGATTTTCACATCAATGTAGAGCAGGTTGTGACCTTCTTTGCAGTTTTGTCCTTTGCACACAGCACCTTCAGCTTTGTTTGTTTTTTCTTTCTACACCAGAACAAATCCATCAAAGGTGTATCCAATAATGAACAGAACAGTAGGTGACCGAGGAAGATGGTTCTTTGCAAGGTTCCTGCTTCCAACATATGATCTTTTATTGAAATTATTTAGAAAACAAAAGCGTATTTTTTTTTCTGAGGAGAATAATGTTTTCCCACCTCTTACTCTCCACAGAACTAGAATCATCTCTGCTGCTGGGGAATGCGCTGCCATGAATCCGCCACGCTTGAAGGTTATGGACAACTTTAAACGAACAGAAAAGCCTCTCTGGAACGTAGACACCCATATACCTTAATGCTTTCTCCTGCTGTTGCACTGTCGCTAATTTCACTTTCACCACACCAACCAAGAGTTCAGAAACATCACTACAGTTCTTGCAAGGTCAAGGGCTCTTTATCCAGCCACAGATGAAGGCTAGCCTTGGACTAAAAGCATTTTTCAATGGAGAAACACCATTGGCAGCGGGATTTACCCAGAACTAGTTAGTCTGACTCTGGACAAAATTGCTCTGAAAGTAATAAATGGGTTACAGTGTAAAGCATCAGAATAAATTGCACATTTATAGGGCTCAAACAAAGCATAAGACAAATCTGCTAAACCTAAACCACAGCACAAAGCCAGTGAACTAACGTTATTTGGATTACATGTATTTTGTAGTGTAATTGTCCTGAACTTATTTATTATATTTGGGGTAAATTAAATCCTAAGACTTTCAGTTCTCAGAACTGTGAGTCATCTGTGTACTTATTAATTTAAAAAGTAAATGATTTCTGAAGACTCAGCTCTTTGCTTAATGGAATTTGTAATAGGCTTTGCAAGATGTCTCTTTGATTAAACACAGGAAATCACATTCAGTAGATTAATAGTCAACATGACACTCTATACGTCGGTACTTCATTTTCCGCATGTCAGCGCGGCTGCCGGTTGCCCTGTATATTAACTGGACGAAGGGCGGGCCCTCTTCAAGAGGAGTTTCGCTGATTTATACCGTCTGTGTGGACCATTTTCAGTTTCGGGAGTCGGGATAGAAGCTAGAGCTCTGTACATCAGCATTTGTTTGCGTAATGGCGTTTGTACAGGTCATTCTCGTAGCCTTTCTTGTATATTAATTGTAAATTAATTTGTGAATATTGTTCTTCCCAAAACTCTGAAATGAGGGGGGGGTAGCCAAAAGCACTTTGGAAGGCGTCTCCTATATCAAAGCATTTATTCTTCATGGAAGCCGTAATGTTTGTCTTGAATTCTGTTCACCCCAAAGTACTCAATCCCAGCACTCCTATGAATAAAACTGGACAATGCTTCAACAGCAGTCATAGTAGTATAGTCATTTTTGGTACTATGCAGAATGTCTCACTTATTAACCTTGCTGTGTACTGTCAGAAGGTACATATCAGATTCTCAGTACCATGTAGAACATTTATGTATTATGGAGGTTAAGCAACTAAAATAATACCAGTCATAAATTGTATAAAGAGCACTTTTTCTTTGTTCAACAGTCCTGTCATTCACATGTACACTGTTATAATTAAATGTGCCAAAAGGGCTCTGAGGAGCAGTTCTGTAGAAGAACCACTTTTGTTTCTCTAAAGAACCTTTCAAATTATTTGCAAGTGGTTCTTCTATGGTATCACTACAAAGTACCCTATTTGGCACATTTATTTTTAGGACAGTAATGCTTTTCATTCTGTATCTATCTGCTTTAACACTGACAATGCATCTGAAACACTGCCTTATAATGTGTAGTAGTGTTTCTGTGTTCAGTTTAACTATACAACTACGTTTTTAGTATGTTAAAGCGGAATTCCACACATCTGCATTATGAAATGATTAAGGCGTAAACAGTCATTCAGAGTGGTTTGTTGTGGAATGCTCCGTTTTAGAGAAACTTGTCAGAATTGTTCACGGTGGTGGTGATAGGAACCAGACATTTGAAGCTGTAACACCTCTAGAAAGTGCATCATGTAAAGTTATTACATGAAAGAGTAATGAAAGGCTATACGCTGCCTGGTGTCTGAGATATTGTCAAGTGATTCCTTTGAGAGAAGGTTTTGGTCTAAAATGTATTTCTTTTTAAATATGATCATGGTGGAGAGGTGCATGCAGGGTGTTGTAAAGTAAAATAGTCCCTAAAGAAAACTTTTTTTTTTTTTAGATTTACCACTTTTACCATCAACATATTGTCGCTGTTGAAACAGTACTTCATCTCTCCAAAATAGTAACTTTACAGGAGAAGGAAAAAATTTTTGTAATTTTATTTAATGGACATTAGTGTGAATATTTTTTTCAAGTCATTTTGGACCATCCTGTTGGTCCGTCCATCATGAAATGTAAACAAAATGCAAAGGTCAACTCGTTTTCAAATAGTAATAATTTTTTTTTCAAAAAATGGAAATACGTTTTTTTTGTACAATATAAAACTAGAATGTTTGTTCTTAGTTTTCATTTTACGCATGTTGTTTTGGATAGTAAACCAACTCCACGTGGCACCATTTTATATGAAACTACCCTGAATGACTTTGTTTGCATCTTAATGATTGAGCTCTGCAGTTGTTTTGAAGATCAGTGGAAACCTCAGTGCCCTTCCTTTCTTCATTTGTTGCGGCCTTGCTGAGACAAATCAATGGATATATGAAACCTTTTTGTTGATGTTTAAAACGTAGGTTTTGTTAACGGCATAAATTTAAAAGACTTGTCTATGAGAATGTTACTTGACTAGATTGGGGAAAATCAAGAGTGGACAGGATTTCTGTCATTTGTGCTTTTGTAAAGTAACCTGTGTCTTAGTAGTGTCTGTAGGTGTGGTCAACAGTTCTGACTTAAACAGTGCCAGTTCCAGTTGGCTGCTGATGCAGTCGAGCAGTTTGTTCTTGGAAGGGAAACCTTAAAGTGTTGAAAATGTTCCTGATGTCCGTCTGTCTCACTGTGCTCATGTGATGTGCCATATTTCTCCTTCATTCTTCTTCTGGCTCCTTCGTCTTTCTGCCAGTGTTGCTGCAAATGTAATCTGATTTAGTGATGAGTTTCTGTCCAACACAAAAAAGGTGTTGAGCTTTATATTACCACACAACCAACCATACTGAAATGTACCAAAAATGTCTATTTCTGTTTTTTTTACTTATCTTTTTTCTTTTCTTTTTCTGTTTTTTCCATGTGTCTTGTATTTTTGAAACTTGTTCTCAGGGTCGAACCTCAATTTCTTTGTCATTTTTACTCCCAGATTTATTTATCCATGACTGATGACTAGAACATTTGCAGTCAGTGCTGAATAATAAATTGGCTTCTTTTATTTTCTCTAACACACTGCTGCACTCCTGTATTCTCTCTGCTCTGCAGTTTTGTTTCCATCTGCGTTTTTCCCTTTCCAGACAACTCACCACAGACATGATGCATTTCATACCAGACAAAAGTTGCTTGGTTATGCTTGTAACATTTTTGCATGGCTGTCACTCTGGAAGAAGTAGAGAAGAGTCTGAGTGTTATTAGATGTTTCCTGGTGTAGATTACTGAACACGCTGAACATCAGGGTAATCAAAGTTGCGTGTAGTCAAATCTGATCAGAAATTGAGTGTCAGTTTGATCTTTGGTGTGCAGGATTTATATTTACTCCTGCACACATACGTTTGAATACCCCAGTCAAATTACGTTTTGTTGATTTTCTAAGTGAACACAAGTTAACACATCCTCTTCAGAGAACACTTAAATCTGGCATTTTTCTGCATATTTTAGACAGTTTAACAGATTTGGAAAATATAAAATGTGCCATAAGTTTTGAACAGGCCATGTTTTATGTTTTAATTTTTCCAATTTGTTAAATTCAGTAAATAAACAGCAATAGAGTGTTAAAATGTGCAGGAGTGTGTTCTCTGTAGAGGATGTGCACTTCTTTTCACTTACCCAATGTGTTAAAATCAGCAAATAAACAGTAATTGTCAGAGGCGGGAACAAGTCACTTCGTTGCAAGTAATACAGTCTCAATTCTTCAAACTGAAGTCCCAAGTCAAGAGAGCTGAGTCTCGATTCAAGTCCTGAGTCAGTGAAGGCGAGTCTCAAGTCGAGTCCCAAGTCAATTGTCCTAATCTTCGAGTCCTAAACAAGTCAGTCTGCATTCTTCAGCTAATTTAAGGCCATAACACTGAATAAGGGTAACAGTACTGTAGCCTTTTAATAATAGCACGTTTGCAGTGTATGGCTGTACATTCATTTATCATTATTATTTTTTACCCTTCCAGCTAAAATATAAAATCAATGGTACACAGATAACCATGACAGGTGTACTGTACACACACAGAGTAGTGCAACTACGCTATATTTGAACGTTTCACCTCTCCATGTTTCTTCCACTTGGCGACTTCAGTCTTTCTGAGTCAGAGACCGAGTCACTGGTGTTGAAGTCAAAGTCGAGTCCCAAGTCTTTCTCGATTTTCTCGAGTCGAGTCTAAAGTCATCAAATTCGGGACTCGAGTCCAAGTCAAATGACTCGAGTCTACACCTCTGGTAAGTGTGTATTGAAATGTATAGAAGTGAGTTCTGTGTAGGGGATGTGTACCTTAATTTGCCCAGGAGCTTTTTGCCATTGACTGTATTATACACTGATAAGCCATAACATTAAAACCAAAATCCTTGTATCTGCACTCATTGTCCATGTTATCAGCGCCACTTATCCACCATATAGGTGTGCTTTATAGTTCTACAATCACAGACTGTAGTCCATCTGTTTCTCTGTTAGCCCCCTTTCACCCTTTTCTTCAATGGTCAGGACCACAACAGAGCAGGTATTATTTGGGCGGGGGATCATTCTCAGCACTGCAGTGACACTGATGTGGTGGTGGTGTGTTAGTGTGTGTTGTGCTGGCACGAGTGGATCAGACACAGCAGTGCAGCTGGAGTTTTTAAACACTGTGTCTACTCACTGTCCACTCTATTAGACACTCCTACCTTGTTGGTCCACCTTGTAGATACACAGTTTGTGTTGGTCATTCTTTAGTCCGTAATCAGTGGTCATAGGACACTGTTGGATGAAGTGTAGCAGCACTGCTGTATGTGATTGAGTAGTGTAGTGTAATATGTGTTTAGACAGCCATGTAGGAGTAATCAGTCCTGAGATTTCTTTTTCCAGGAAGCAATAAGTGATGTTATCCATTTTAGTTTGTGAAGTAATTAGTCATTTATTATGGATTACGTTTTTGATTAAATACACCAACACTGCTTGCTTGAAACTTAAAGGGGAACTCCACTGATTTTGCAAAATTATTTAATCTTTCAACCGTTTAGATGTAAACAAAATCAGTTGGAGTGGTTTGGTGTGAAATGCGCCACTCTAGTTCCCCTTTAAAGGGAACTCCTTAGAACTGAGATATAAATAATTCAGAATGGTTTGATGTGAAAGGCTGTGTTTTGAGTCAGGATTGTCCACTGTGGTGGTGATAGGAACCAGATGTCTGAAGAGTTTAATGCCTCTAAAAGCTCCCTCACATAAACATGAAGGCTTCACTTTGTCATTTCACGTGCAGCTGAATAGACATTAAAACTAAGTCAGAGAAATGTGTTTCAGTTTGCACCCATTTACTCAGATGCTATATTTGTCGATAATCACTAAATTACTCCTTTGCTACAAGTGGATCAGACACAGCAGTGCTGCTGGAGTTTTTAACACTGTGTCCACTCACTGTCCACTCTATTAGACACTCCTACCTTGTTGGTCCACCTTGTAGGTGTAAAGTCAGAGACAGTAGCTCATCTGTTGCTTGTTTGTGTTAGTCGTTCTCTTATTCTTCTGGGTGGCTGGGGGATGTTTTAGTATTCTCATAAATAAATTATCTGCAAATAATTTTGACAGCAAGCAAACAGATATTTCTCAAGATTCACCATAAATGTTTTTCAGTCACTTGAGAGTGTAAGTCATAGAATTCACACCCATGCTGTTTGAATCACCCTCTTGGTGGCAGTAATAATAACAAATTTACATTCAGAACATTTGAATTTTTTAAGTTTTTATGCACAGATTCATCAAAAACAGACTGTAGCTGTAGTAGATGAAATTATTTAAAGATGAGGTGATATATTGATATTAGCTGTTCTACTTCATGGTCAAAGAAAAATTTGCCACATGGGAGACTTCCTCTTTTTCAACTCATTTTGATGAATATATTTTTGTATATTTAGGTTGGAAACAGGGCCATAACTAAGTTTGTAGTGAGGTCCATTTTGCGAAAAAGTGACCTACATCTTATAGTGAATAACCTGCTGAATATGAGTGTAACCTGAGGTGGCAATATGAGAACTGCCACCTCAGTCCTGTAAAATT